GACAAATAATGTTTATATATACCCAATAAAGTATAGTAATAGATAATGAACTTTAAAAAAGGAAAATCAGTAGACAAGCATAGACATAGTATGAAGTCTCTAAATCTATATATGGACCAATGGGTTGAAATGTACCCATTCATCCCTCTCCACGAATGAAGCACCTTGTCATCTCAATATGTTTAAAGTGCCTTCCATGGAGTAAGTGTGCAAAGCAAATTTGTTGAATTGCAAAAACTTCAAATTACAGTCTGGTAGCACAAAGCACATCACATACTTTTAAAACCCATAAAGACATCAGTTAGGCGTGTGTGTGTATGTGTGTAAATTAGTATAAAACAAAGACAACTCAAGATAAAAACAAGTGCACTCCAAAAACAAAGCCAGAGCCCATAGGTATGGTTTGGAAATCTTCTGTCACATGGAGGCGTACTTCAGTTTAGCACTTGATGCACAGATCTATGTGTTTACCAAATACAGTACTTTTAGGCTTGCTTTTGCAAGAAACAAGCCACTGAAGACAGTGGCATCGCTAAGGCGGCTGTCAACCAGTTCAGTAACGCATGGTGTCAGCCAGCTCCCATGAGCCTCCTCTGGCACCAGATCCTTTACTCATTCGTTCACACACACTGCCATCGAGTCACTTCTCGAGTACACAGTAGAACTTCCCCTTGTGTTCTGAAGCCATCGAGTCAATTCCGGGCCTCTAACACAGTAGAACTTCCACCTCGTGTTCTGAAGCCGTAAGTCTTTACAGGAACAGAAAGCCTCAGCTTTCTTCTAGGAGCAACTGGTGGTTTAAAACTGCTGACCTTGTGATTAGCAGCCTAACAAATAACCCGCTACATCACCAGGGGTCCCTACAGAATCCTTAGTAATATTTATTACCAATTTTAATCATAGTTTAAAAGGGGTGCCCCTCTTAAAATGAATTTTTTCCCCAAAGCTATTTAAATGTTTTCACACAAAAACCTCATCATCTTCAAAGTACTCTCTATTACACTGAATACATTTGTCAAATCTGTGATTCCATTCTTGGAAACATTTTTCAAACTCATCTGGACGGCTGACAGCACCTCCCTCATTTTTTTCTTCACCTGTTCTACATGGTCAAATCGCTATCCTTTCATGTTACTCTTCATTCCAGGAAACAAAAAGAAGTTGCACGGAGCGAGATCAGGTGAGTAAGGTGCATGGGGCAAGAGAGGCCTGCTGTATTTTGCTAAAAACTGGTGCACTGAGATGGCTGTGTGAGCAGGTACATTGTTGTGGTGGCAAAACCAGTCCCATCTGTCACAAATCAGACCTTCTTGGTCGCACACTGTTACACCATTTTTTCAGAACCTCTAAATAGCAAGCTTGGTTAACAATCTGACCTGGTGGAATGAACTCCAAATGCTCTCTCTCCCTCACATCAAAAACAAAAGCAAATGAGCATTGTCTTGATCTTTGGTTTCACTTGAGCTTTTTTGGGTGAGGTGATGATGATTGACTTCCACTGGCTTGATGTCTGCTTTAGGCGCCTTCAGAACGACACCGTGTCTTGTCACCAGTAATGACCTTGGGAAAAAAGCTGGGTCACTTCAGAGCTGTTCTTTCAAAGCACGACATGTTTCCAGTCTATGTTCTTTTTCTGGGTCAGTCAGAGACCCTTCTCAATCCCAAATCTTCATTAAAATTCACAGAACCAAGGTCTAAGACAGTCCAGATAACTTCCCCATCTCTTTAATGGTCTGACATTGGTCTTCAAGCACAAGTTCAAAAATTTTGTTGACATTTTCCTCCATTTGGGAAGTTGACAGACATCCAGATTGAAGTTTGTTATCAATTGACATTTTTCCTTTTTTAAAATGAGAAAAACTACTCATACACTTGAGTTATTCCCATATCGCTGTCCTTGTAAGCTGTGTTCAACATCACAACAGTTTCTGCCGTAGTTTTCCAGACCCTGAAACAAAATTTCACAGCTGTCTATTGTTCTCTTAAATTGGCCATCCTAAAAAACGAGGTTCGAGTGAAACTGCTCTGACAAAAAAAAAAAATTCACTGAGACTGGAGAGAACCTTCCCAGGTGATGCCATTGGGTGCACTAACTCAAAGTGAGTTGTTCTATGCTCACCTAGTGAGAAAAATGTGTACTATTTTCTGGAGGGTTTTTGGGGGGGTACCCCTTGAATTATGTGATGGTTTTAAATTGTCTAAATGTAATATTTCTTGATTATAAGAATACAAACAATAAATTTTGAAAAATCTTTCCACATTGAATTACAGCATTATTAGGAACAGAGTGGAAGTCTTTTTTATTTTCTCCTTCTTTTCCTTTAATAACTACTTCATCCTAAAAAAAAAAACAACACAAAAAACTGGTACAAGCTCACAAATACCAATTGCCACAAAATTGTAGCTATAACACCAGAAAATTTTACAAAATCAGCAAATAGGAAAATGGCAGCAGCAACAAGAACAGGGCACGCAGACAAATCAGGTAATTCAAAGCTTCACTGTAATTGGATAATGGCAATTTTGTCTGGAGCACTTTAGAAGACTCAAAAAGTTAATTAGCATAGATGGTTAGCCCTGTAGACATATTGATACATGTAAGCTGGACTTACAAAATATGATTTTAACTACCTAGAGGAATATTTTTATTAAAAATAACTAAGTTATCACTGAAACACTGCACAAAATGTATATAAACAGTGGTTTTAGACTTCCTCTAACAGTGTCACCTGTTACAATGTGCATCCCTTTTGTCCGCCGCCACCCCCTGGCCCCTATGCCAGTGATGTCCCTGATTGGAGACTTCCTGTCTGGCTTGTACGGAGGGATATTAGAAGAATCCATTTACATTGCTAGGCTCCTCATGGTTTTCTCATATTCTTCATTTACACTAGTGAGAAAGGACCGTTAATTTCAAATTCAGCTCTGACTGCCTTTTCTGTCCCGTATCCACCACAAAGAATCTATTATGCTTTATACGATTCATTACAGTATAAAGTTAAATGGTTTTTCAGGTCACATTAAGCAGTCAAGTCACACATCTTACTTTCCATTAGCATCTGGGTCTGAGCAGAGCAAGTCTGAAACTGAGGCATGTAGGAAACAGACGTCTTCTTAACAGAACTTCCTAAGTTGAAGTTGTTCTCTAGAAACTGGGAGCAACTGTCCTGAAAAATCCTGATGTCAGTGAATAAACTGTGGGTGGGAAATGGGCACAACACTCCGGGTTCATCAGTCAAAAGCCCGCCACTTGCTCGCTTTTTGAGTGAAGCGACCCCTAAATAATAGACAGACCTTTTGTGCTTGTTTTCCTCAGGGCAGCTGCCCTCCTGTTTCAACAGCTCAATTCCTTCTGAGAAAGGAAGGTGGGGGGAAACCGTATTGAGATGCTGATCTGATACTATAAAAAAGGCCTGAGGCGCCCTCTCCCAGGAGCCACTAGAAGAAGAATCCTTCCACACAGAGCTTTGGCCAGAGAAGCATCTGCTAACAGATCTACTTAGAAGCCCTTGCTCTTCCTCACTGTCATTGGACTTCGCGTGGCTAACAAGTGTGGCATATTTGACGGAGGGCTGGCTCGGGCTCTCTTCTTCACAGGTAAGCCCATTGCACTTTGCCTCAGAGAGGCCAGTACCGTGGCACTGACCACTGACACACACAGAACCCTTCTGAAGAACTGGAGCTGTCAAAAGTAGAGAGACCATGCTTGCAGACGCCATCTCCTCTTTAGTTTTCCATGATGAATCAACACTGATATCTTCTGAAATGGTTTCCGGCTCCAAAAGAAGCGGACCAAATGTCAGTGAATCGGCATGCTTGATAAAAAGATGCTCAAACGTTTCTGGCTAAAAGAAAAGACACATTTTAATGTTCAATTTTTTTCCTTGCTATGGCATACTTCAAGAAATGGGAGTGTATAGGGGTTAATAATAAAGGGCACACTCTATCACAAATGAGCTAGCTTTAGATTGAAACAAACAGGCAAAAGCACTCGTTGCCATCGAGTCAATGCTGACTCACAGCGACCCCCTGCAAGTTTCTGAGACTAACCATGGGGGTAGAAAGCCCAGTTTTTCTCCCACAGAGTTGCTGGTGGTTTTGAACTGCCAACTATGTGGATCCCGACCCAATGCATAACCACTACACCACTAGGGCTCCTTATATTGAAACAGGTATATTAAATATCATAATCAAAAATAATGATGTAACATGTTAGTGTTTAAAAGTGGAGTGAGCTGCGACTTAGGTCTGAGTTCTTCCAATTCTATGACTCTGAGAAGGTCTATTAACCTCTCTCTTTGCCTTTGACTTTCTTCTTCTGGAAAAATGTGTTCAATGACGAATGTATGGCATTAAAGTACTTCTTAGTGTCTGAAAATTATTTTCTCCTAATCTATAAAAGTTATTGTAAATGTAAGTGTTCTCTTTTACTCTTGAGGAATTCCTAACGTCTCCTACCAAATTAGACTCCCCACCCACCCCATTGCCATTGAGGCGATTCTGACTCATAGTGACCCTCTCAGACAGAGACCTGCCCCAAAGGGTTCCCAAGGCTACCGAATTGGATTGCCATATTGTCCTCCTTTAGAACAGCTGGGGGGCTCACATTCCCAACTCTTCCAAGAGCCGCTGAATGTTAACAATTATGCCAGCAGCGCTCCTGAAATCAGGTTCCCCAACCTGAACATTTAAGCTCCACCCCCAAATTAAAAAGGAGATTGTAATTAAATCACAGCCCCAGGACAACATGTCAAATGTAATTAAAATAATACCATGACATAGATGTCATCTAAGGCAAAATATTATGAGGGTTATGAACTTATCTGTCTTACATTATATTGAAAGTTTGTTTATACTACCTGAAAGTAAGCATTAATCAGTTGGACCAATGACGGTGAGAGAGATGATCACAGACTGTCAGATTGCTATTACTTATAAATAATTTCTTATCAAATACATACTATGGCACATGTGGAATGAAGACAAACACACAAGACAAATGCACATCATATTTTATAAGAGCAGTGGATACATCACAACAAAAACCCTGCCGAGCAGCTACCAATTAAGCTCATACATTGTAAACATTTTGAAACATACATGCAAAATAAAAAATATTGTGGATACATAACATTGAAATTAACAAACTAAGTGCAATATGGAAAATATATTCAATTCATGTGAGATATAAAATTAAATGTATAAAATTCACATTAAGATGAACACAACAAATTTAGATGTACTTCCTGAAATAATGACATATCAAAGCATTCTTTCATAATGGAAAGTGCATTACATGGAAAAATGCAATTCATTTGGCATAATTTCAAATTTCAGAATGAAATATATTAGCAACCAAAGCCATGAAATTATACATCTATCTAAAGCTAAATAGTGAAAGAGTAGACTTATATGGGTATGATACTAAAATAGGGAATAATGAGAAATACTGGAATATTACTTTTCAGTCACTCAGGAGCAAAAGGCAGGGGCACTGCTGCTCTGTCCATTTGGTTTCGGAAGACTGACCATGAGGTTTGGGAAATTTCTTTGCTCATTTTGTTTTCTCTTAAAGATTTAACCATATATACACTGACTTGCATAAAAATTAAATCAGCCTAATCTTAACTTATATATTAAGACCTCCAAATAGATGTGTTACATACTTTTGACATAAAAACAAAAATTACATACAAAAAAATCACAGTATGTGGTCAGATGCACATAAGGTCTTTAACTTATATTTGTGGCATAGTTTAAGCTTTCAAAAACTTCCTATTTTGAATTAATTTGGTGAAAATCAAACTTATTCAAATGCACTTAAATTGGAGACTTCACTAATAATTCATAAGCAGTCACAGTTCCATATATTACTGAACTACAATTTGTCAATGAGTCACAAATCTATATTAAAATATGCTCATTTAAAAGTAGCTTCAATCACTGGCTGCATGTAACTTTTTGAGATTTTAGAACAGTCTTGAATACACATGCATATTCAGATTACATAATCAGAGGGTAAAAATTTAAAAATATCATTTCGTAACCTCACATTTTGATTTCTTATAGCCCATTGACATCTGTTACTAGTCAATGGGAAAAAGACATGCTCTACTCTTCTCCAATTTTTTATTTTATTTTCTGCATTCAATTAAGTCTATGTATAAAAGTCAAGTAAAAGTGATTTAGACATAATCTTCAACTTGATTTTATTTGAGCTAATCAAAAGCTTTGCCAAAAAAAACAAAGAATTTGCCTTGGTTTGAATAATACCCTTAACATACTGAATTCATAACCAGTAGGTGGTCCTTTTTTTTTTTTTTTTTTTTAAGGGAGAAAAATCCTGAACTCAGTATGAACTATTTCAAAAAGCTCCAAAAATAGTCTCCCTTCCTTACATCACTGTTCACTCTCCTGGCTGCCAAAAGTCTTGGGCGGTTGAGTTTCATAAGAAGACTGGCTTGGAAGCTGTTATTTCCTGATCTGGTCAATCTGACCTGAGTCTGTAAGGTCATGGATAAGTCCTCCTGCCCTGTAACCAGAAACAAGCCACAATTCTGACTTTCTTTGAAGTAGAAATGGAAATTAGTGCTTAAGCCATTTTCAAAGCTAATGAACATTGAAATTCTCAAATTGACCAAAGTTAAATGAAAATAAAAGCTACAAAACATGCAAAAGAATATCCAAATGGATCCATTTAGTATCTATAAAGAATGTAAGGTAGAAAACTTAGACATAAAGATGTATAAATGAAATAGTTCCATTGTACTCTGGTGCTAAAAGTTATTATATTTGCAAAGTTATGTGTCAGCAGTTCTGGGGTTCCCTCTTGAGAGGTCACCTACTAGCTACTTGATAATATCTAAAAGATATGCCATGACACCAACAGTCATGTTTTCAATGTTTTATGAGCCCAAAACTGCTAACCCTCAAGTCATAAGATCCTATTACTTCTTTAAATTTTAAATGACTTGAAAAGTAATCATATATCTAAAAAGAGCTGAACCCAGACCTATATTTTTATGCTAAATTTATACATCTATTTAAAGTTCCAAGTCAAGATAATCCCACTCTATTTTAGTTCTCAACAGTTCCAGCAAAACTTTCTTAAGACTTGGTCCCCTTCTTCAAAAGGTAAAAATCTTCTAATACTCTACAGTTGGGAAGTTGACACATTTGGGTTCGTCTGTAGTGGTCATGATTAGACTTCAAAGAATGTCCGTTCTCTGTTTAGAATAAATGAAACAAAGTAAGAAAGCAGAATAAAATTAAATAATACTCAGAAAGCAAAATATTTCTAAAAACATTTCCTGATCAGCACAGTTATGGGCTATAAATCCTTGCATTTATATCACAGTAAATTACTTTTCTATGAAAAACAAAATTTTGCACTAAGGTGACCTTGAACATTCTCTTAATAGAAGCCTTTATATTCAAGGCATCTATTGTATAGATAGTCTTAATTAACCTAGAAAAGAAAAAGAAGAGTAATTCAAAGAAGAGAAGGACAAAGATCTGAAAAAATAAATTGGAAAGAAAAACAACAGCAAGTTTAGAGAGTTTGGAACAAGAAACTAAACAGAGTAGTGAAAAGAAAAACACAAAATAAAAGGAGGTAAGAACTGAAATGATGAAGAAGGAAAGAACCAAGATAATTATCATGGATTATTTTTTAGCCTGAAAACATGTCTAAGAAATCATCTGGTCTATGTCTATTTTTTGTTAAGGTTATACAACTAAATAGAGCAAAAAGAAGCATCTTTTCTATATATTTTTTTTCTTTTCTATATATTTTATAATACAAAGCAAGATTAAAAAATATTCCAAGCAAAAATCTATAGAAAAATGTATTCTTCATTTGACTTTTTGACATTTTCCACTCACTGTAATAGAGATTGGCTCCCATACTTTCTCCTGCTTCCTAATTACCCACAGACTTACATACAAATAGTAGGCAAATCAAGAAATTTTTAAAAATTCAAGATATATTTTAAGTGAGTAAAACATAGGTCTCCGAGTCCAGGCATATGCATGTGGAGACGCAAAGGAGACAAATGTTTGGACTAAAGCTTGCAATTCAAACCAGTGTCAGCTCTTCCATACTATCGGAAGGGCATCACGGCCATTTGAGGGAGGAAGCTGCAGGGTCTTTAGATTTGTAAGGATGGTATTGTGGGCATGCTCAGATGGCTGCGCTGCTTCTTTGGGGGTCTGCTGCAGGCAGAGGAATCCAGGGTAGATGTCAAGGAAAGACCACTGTGAATTTAGGTGCAGCACTCTTCATCCAGGTCTCCGTAGTCTGAAAGTGCGTTTCCTTCTCTCTAACCCTTCCCTGTGCTTTTCAATTTCTAGTGAAAATGGCAGGTTTGGTATCTTGGGGGACTCACATCATGTTCCTTTGAAATATTCTTTGAGGTTTAGAGAGCAAAGTGAAGTCTAAAGAGGCAAGATCAGGGCTGTAGGGTGGATGGGATAAGGTTTCCCAATGAAATTCCCGTAGGACGGCTCTTGCTACCCTCTAAGAATGAGTAAGTGCGCTGTGGTGATAAACAAATTTCCTTGGCACACTTTCCTGGCCTTTTTCTCACCAATGCTGTTTTCAATTTTCTTCAAACTTTTCCATTAAAAAAAAAAATCAACAACAAATCCCAACTCACTGCCCTGGAGTCAGTTCCCACTCAGGTTGTTGTTGTTAGGTGCTGTGGAGTCGGTTCCAACCCACAGCACCCTGCGCACAACAGAAGGAAACACTGCCCGGTCCTCTGCCATCGTCTCGACGGTTCCTGTGCCTGAGCCTGTGCTGCAGCCACTGTGCCCATCCACCTTGTGCAGGGCCTCCCTCCTGGCTGCCCCTCTGCTTTACCAAGCATGATGTCCTTCTCCAAGGATTGGTCTCTCCTGACAATATTCTGACTCACAGCAACCCTCTATAGGCAGTTCAGGGGGAGAACTGCCCCTGTAAGTTTCCAAGACGGGAACTCTTCACTGGGGTAGAAAGCCCTGGTTTTCTCCTGTGAACTGGCTGTTTTGAACTGGGGACCCTGTGGTTATCCGCCCAACACGTAACCCACTGCTCCACCAAGGCTCCTCTAATGAATGAATGAAACGTGTGAATGAGTACATTTTAAACATGAATAAATTATTTTGAGGACGCAAAAGAAGACAAGTTCCATTTTAACTACTGTTAAGTCACACACATTTCCGCAATCCCACTGTCTTCATTGTTAAATGATAAGGAACTTTGAAACAATGCGTCAATAGCCCAGCCTTATATACAACTATGTGCTTGTTGAGCAAGTAAATGAATGATAAATAAAAACATAGGATTTAAATAATATTATTATTAGATATTATTATAACTATAATAGTACTACTATTGAAATTCCTAATGGAAGATAAAGGGGAGTACCAAATACCTGATTAATTGAAAAGGTCCAGCAACTCTTACACTGGAAGGAGGCACCACGGTGTATCGTGGACAAGTACATGGCTGATGAGGACATGCATGAGCATGTGACTGGGTCGACTCAGACAAAGTGAAATTTCTACCAAATGAATGACCACATGTCAAATTCCACATGTGCCAGGTCCAAAGACAGAGAGAGTGATGCCTCTTTTGTTGAAAGAGTATAATTTAATATTTTGTGATGTTGGCTGACTACAATATTAATTACTATCTGGTTCATTCATTCATTAATAAGCTGTAGAGCAATGATTTTTTTAAGTGTAAATCATAGACTTTAGTGTGTTGAGAAATCAATTTAAAGGCTTTCACCCAGCATTTTAAAAATGCAAGATAAAAATAATGGAAAGAACACAGAGGGCAAGACAAGTAGCAAAACTAAGTACTATTTCCTGCAACTTTTTTTCTTCAACTTTACATATCCACATCTTTATGTGTACTAGGTTGTAAGATAAATGTGTGCAAAATAAGTGTAGTTACTACTATGGGACATGGTCAAGGGGAGAAAAAAAGAAGAAAGTCAATGTTATAGAAGACAGACTGATAGCACAGGCTCAGAATCAGACAAATGAGTAAGCAAATCCTAACCCAATCAACTACTGAAGATAATGTTCAGGGCTTTCTTTTATAAAGTAGAGATAATAATGCCTACCACACAAATTAAGTAATGAATAATCATGCAAAATAATAATGTATCATAAAAGAACTAATATTTCCTGAGACCTCAGTATGGGATAGGTATTATCTTCTTTAACTTCCCAAAACAATCCTACATGGTGAGCATTATTATCTTCGTTTTACTAAGAGTAGGAGTAAAAGTCAATACGAAATGCAGCAGTGCCCAACACAGTGACTTTCGCACAAATAAGTGTGTCTTCTGATTGCCACACAACTGTGAATTATCGGCAATCCTTTAATAGCTTTCTAGTTTAAAGTATCGTAAAGTCAGAGAAGTTCAACAAATATCTGTGGTGGATAAAACATAGTCTTTGAACCCAGGGCACTATCATTAAGAAATGAAACACCAACATGTTCTACACAATGAGAGTGGGATAAGCTGTTTTCAGCTATATTTGCTAAAGAAAAGTTTCCAGAAAAATAGGCCAAAGGCTGGATCTCTGCTGCTGATGAGAGACCTCTATTAGTGAATAGAAATGGGAAAGATATAATCAAGGCCCAGTCACAGAATAAAATTGGATAAGTAACTTAGAAACAAACTATAGTGCGAAATCTTTGAGTATTAGCCTAAGAAGACTGTTCTTTATCGGATAGCTGAAAGAAAAGTGCTGAGGATATTTTAGCAGATGATGGGGAATAAATAACAAGATGCAATCTTGTGGCTTAAAAGTAATCTCCAAGTGATTATGGTTTATAAAATGGCATACATGTTTTTGCATGAAAATGAAATTATATTTTTTACCAAGTCTATTGTAGGAGATCAACCTCACTTCATGAAAAATTATTAGAATCAATAAATATTTGGTGAACCCTAGAGACTTTTGAGAAATTATAGAAATAACTACAAATTATTTTATCTTAGTCAACTTATTTTCTAAAAAGTCCTTTAATTTGAATGGAACTATCTGTATAAATGTGTTATTGTAATAACAGCATTTTTAAAATTGCAGTACTTGAAGATAGGATTACTCATATATTTTGAAAATGGTATTATTTAAATACATTTAAATAACTGCCAAATGATTGTAGAGCTTGGAATATTGATTCAAACTGTGTTGCCTACAAATAAACCATTTCATACCAAAAATAAGTGTCTAGATGATATTCTCTTCATCAGATTTGACCTTTAATGTTCTAATATTCACATTATCATTTACTCAACACAGAAGGGTGTCATGGGCTTGTCAACTCACAGACACTACATTCATTCACTGCCATCGAGCCAATCTTGAGCCCCAGCTGCCCTCCAGGGCAGAGTAGAACTGTGCCCTGGTGGGCTTCTCAGACATGAAATCTAGGTGAGACTAAAACGTTCCAGGGAGCGGCTGCTGAGTTAAACTGCTGACCTTGTGCGGAGCCACCCAACATGTAACCCACTTCGCCACAAGGACTCCACAGATATTAAACTGGCTACTGAAGTCTCTCTCACTAGGGTTACTATGAGTCAGAATCAATTCAGGAACAGTGAGCTTTTAATTTTTTTGTAAAAGTATAGAGTCTGTTCAACAGATTCATTGAAATGGATTTCATCAAGAACTTTTAAACTTTAAAAGAGTTAAGGCTCTGGAAGTGATATGTCATCTAAAAATATAATTTTAAGTATTTTGCATTTTTTCCTTTCAAAATATTTATTTAAAAAAAGGACCTTCTTAAAATTAAGTCCTTGTGCCCAGGAACAATTCTTGGGGTTTGGAACATCTTCCCAAAACAGCTTCTTCATTCTGTAAAGAATAAACAAGTATTAAAGAACAACACAATGATTAAAAATAATAAAACAGCTGATATAGATATACTTATCCGATAAAACAATACAACTGCCCCACAGGGTTTCCTCTCATGGTTATGTGTTGAGCGGCTAATCACAAAGCAATTCAAAGCCACTGGCTGCTCTGGGGGATGCAGCTTTGTACTCCTGTAAAGAGTTACAGTCTCAGAAACCCACAGGGGCAGTCCCCAGGGCAGTCCCCTCCCCCCCCCCCCAACCCCTGTCCACAGAGTCCCTATGAATTGGAACCCACTGGGTGGCAGTGAGAACATCTGCAGGAGCAGAGTATCAGGTCTGTTCTCCTGGGGAGGGTCTGGCATGTTGGAACTACCAATCTTTTGCTTAACATCCAAACACTTAGCCACTGTGCCAGCAGGACTCCTTAAAATTCAAGATTGACAGAAGTATTAAAAATCACAAGAATAGCCAAGATTTACTGAAAGCTATCATCCAGGCACTGGGCTAAACAATGCACTCAAAAAAATTAATATACATCTTTTCAATGACCTGCAAATGTTTTTGTAAACAATTCAGCTTAATGTGCCCCCCTCAGCTCACTTGGCTGGCTGATGAATTTGAATTCTAAAATAACTTTCTCCTCTTCTTTGCTAAAGGACAAAATTGTCTATAGAGAGAAGACATATGTGAAATGATATCACTGGTTCCTATAGCTCGGCAATGAGTGATGTCATACAACTTTCAGACATTTCAATGTTACTTGGCTGATAAACCAGACTGTAGCCACCTGTGTTGATCTTTAAAAAACAGAATGTCTATGACTCACAAATAAATTCAGTATTCCAGTTCAATATTAACCACTAAGAGGCCTCAACCCAAATTGCAGAACTCTAAAATCCATTTTTGCTACCTCAAAACACATACTGCCCATTGTAAGACTATTATTCCTTGAAATTATACATATTAAAAAATAAATTTTCCATAAGGCTTATGTTATCTTAGCCATTTTCCAAAAGCAGGCCTTTTTAAAAATTTTATATTGAATACATTTAGAAATATTTAGAATATCTCACTTTTTTCTGATTTGGATGGAAAATTTAAGTTTAAATTCAAGAGCTTTTGCCATAAATATTCTTAACACCAAGCACAATACCTTTGATGTGATATTAACAATGTCCCAAGAAGTAAGACTGAAGCGGAAATAATTATTGGCACAATTACATATAGACCTGCATCATTCTGGTGTTTATCAATATCATCTGAAAAAGAAATACAATTCGCAAATCTCAGAAGCTTAAGAAAAAGTTAATAACTTTCCGCATAACAGTGTAAATATAAAATTGTGTGGTGAGGAAATAACCCAGGCAGCTGGACTTTATGAAGAAGACTGCAGCACCAGACTGAAGGAGATTCGTGAGCAACCCGTGACCCACAGTGACCGAACCTTCCTGTTCAAGTGGAAAGGACTTGAAATATTTACTGACGAAGACCAAAGACTTCAGCCTGTATTACACCCCGACAGTCAAAAACAAACAAACAAAAACCCTCACAACTGGACTAATGAGCAACATCATGGTCAAGAGATAAAATACTGAAATGGTCAAAGATGTCTTTTGACTTGGCTCCCTTATCATCATCACTCATGGAAGCGGCAGTCAAGACATTGCAAGACATTTAAATGCTACAAAATGAAAGTGTCGCTTTGAGGATTAAGGTGAGCCTGGCCCAAGCCATGGATTTCAACAGTTTCACATGCATGTGAAAGCTAAATAATGAATATACTGTTTAAAAGAATTCACAAAGATCTCTTGAAAGAAGTACAACCAGAATGCTCCTTAGAATCAAGGATAGCAAGGCCTCCTGTCGTGTACTTTGGGGATATTATCAGGAGGACTGGTCCCTGGAGATGGACATCATACTTGGTAAGTAGAGGGTGAGCCCACAGGAAGACCCTGAACAAAAGGCATAGACCCATGAATGCAACAATGAACTGCAATTTGGCACCAATTGTGCGGACGGGCGGTGAAGGACCAGGCAGAGCGGGCTGGACGGCTCCTAACAACAACGATACAAAAATAAAAGTATTGTTTTATGTTAAAAAATATGTAATGTCCTTAAAAATGTAAAATTGAAAGAGGAAGATAATAGTATATTCTTGATCATTTTAGAAAGCATTATCATTGTTCAAGATTATTGCAATTTAGTAATGCTTTTTTTTCCCGGTCAGTCTTCTGCATCTGATCACTTTTAGGTTATAGGAATATATGTGCCAAATAAAATCCTTAACCTCACAGTCTAAGTGCGCCCTACAAAACCTGTGAATCTCTCTTGTTCCCGTCAGACATATTGGCGCCCGCCTTGCTGTTTCTTGAGCCACCAACTGGGCTCACTTCTCTAGGCATCCCTTTATCTGGAATATTCTCCCCCTTTCCGTGCAGGAGCCTTCTCACAAGTGCCTCCTCAGAAAGATCATTGTTGCCTACCCTAACTAAACCCCCTACCTAAACTCATTTCATCTTACTTTTGCTTTGCTTCATAACACCCATTTATTTTTCCTTTTTAAAAATCGTGATAAAACACATACAACATAAATTGGCCCTGCCATGTTAACCATCGTCAAGTGTGGCATCTGGTGGCAAAACCTCATTCACTCTGCTGTGCATACGTCACCACTATTTATTTCCACTTATTTCTAGCGGACATTGTTACATATAATCGATTATTGGTCACTCTGCTGTGCATGCATCACTACTATTTGTTTCCTCTTATTTCTAGCGGACATTGTTACACATAATCGATTATTGGTCACTCTGTTGTGCATGCATCACCACTATCTGTTTCCTCTTATTTCTAGTGGACATTGTTACACACAATCGATTATTGGTCACTCTGTTGTGCATGCATCACCACTATTTGTTTCCTCTTATTTCTAGCGGACATTGTTACACACAATCGATTATTGGTCACTCTCCCTGCTGCTTTTGCGTGTCATCTAGTCCTGGTCACCTCACAAAAGGTTAGGGGTCAGGAAAAAAGTTGCTTGATCAGGCACTGTCCTCATAACTGTTGCTATATTTGAGCCCATTATTGCAGCCGTTGGATCAATAGCCATCTTTTGAAGGGTCTTCCTGTTTTCACAGACCCTGCAGTTCACCAAACACGATGTCCTTCTCCAAGGACTGGTTCCTCTTGGTCACATATCTAAATCCAAGACAACATTTTCTTCTTCTGGCAGTGGAGGGCATATTCTTTACCAACACCATCACGCCAATGTATCAATTCTTCTCCTCTAGTCATTGTCTCTCACCCTAGACCACTAGAATTTTAAGCTACAGAAGAGCAGGGAATTGTGGCATTTGATCAATTTCCATCATTTTAAGAGTACTCAGTAAATATTTAATAAAACACAAATAAAACATTCTAACTCTTTTTATTCCAAAACCAGGTAAAACCCTTCTTTCTTGAAATTTCATTTTAGGTTTTTTGTATTTTAAGACAATTGGAAAAGTAGTCATGATCCAAATATTAGTAAAGGCAACTATGCTCCAAGTATGGTAATATTAATCAAAGATAGCCAGGGGCTCTAGCCAACTTTTTTTTCTAAAACTATCTCTCTAGTATAAATTCTTTAATGAAAAAAATATTTCCTCTTAAAGATTTATATAATTTTTGAATTATATATATTTCATAGGAAGATATGAAGGACCTTCAAAAATTTTTGGAAAATGGAATTAAAGGATCATGGAATTCTTTCCACAAACTTTTTTGTTCAGCTATATAGCTACCTTTACCTTACTCCCATAAACTTTTCACACAGTTTAGAAGTAGAGTCTACGCACCAACATAAAAATGTAGTATCACCAGGCTTGATCACGTTATTTTTACTACCAGCACGGAACTGCCAATCAGGTCACAAACTGATGGCACCTCCTTGTAGATGTGGCTTCCTCACAAGGAGCACCCTGGGAAACTAACTCTCTCTCTCTCTCTCTCTCTCTCTCTCCCACTTCCTGCTGGGGAGTCACTCTGAGACCTGCGAGAGCCCTGTGATGCTTCCACCACCATTGGATCCACAAGACTTTTCACCCATTGGGACTGTGATTTCCTGCATTCTGCATCATTGCATGTGGCTGTGTGCGTCTGGCGAGGGACTTGTGGACTAGAGTTGGATTGGGCTGGGATGTTTCCCTGATCTATAACTACGTGTTGAGATAAAGCTCTTCCTTACACATTTATGAGTGTCACTGAATTTTGCTTCTCTCGTCAAACCTGCCTCATACTGACTGGCTATCCCATCATAAAGAGAATGAGCAGATAACAGTACTGGTTACCCCATCGTAAAGAGAATGAGCAGATAACACTACTGGTTACCCCTTCATAAAGAGAATGAGCAGATAACACTACTGGTTACCCCATCATAAAGAGAATGAGCAGATAACACTACTGGTTACTCCATCATAAAGAGAATGAACAGATAACACTACTGGTTACTCCATCATAAAGAGGATAAGCAGATAACACTACTGGTTACCCCATCATAAAGAGAATAAGCAGATAACACTACTGGTTACCCCATCATAAAGAGAATGAGCAGATAACAGTACTATCATTAACAACTTAGAAAACCACATGTCCATCTAAAAGGAGAAAACTTACCTTGGGTAAAAATCTGAATTATCTTCGGTTTTCCCACTCCTTCCATAAATATTGGGTAAAGACTGAACTGATAATTCTCAATGGGGATGAAATGACCTGACAATAAAAATATATTGGAGACTCATTTTTTCTGAATTAAGATTAAATAGTGGAGTCTGAACATTTAAAAATTAAAGTGAATTTCATCAATCTCCAAACACAGTAGTTGTTGTCTATGAATTAAAACAGTCTGTGAATTAAGAAAGTTCTCAGAAACAAAGGACTCTGAAATCTCCTAGTAATTACCAAAGGGAAAAAAACATTTTCAAATATATATACTTTTAAAACCAAATATAGAGCAGTTCAACTTTTCAAAGGCATTTCTCAGACCACTCTAATGACAGACAGTTTGTTCAAGTTCAGGATCCATGAGTTGTTTCCCCCAATTTTTTTCTTCCAGGGAAATATGTTCTACCTTCTTTCCCTTACCTCCAAAGTGAACAATTTGTTGTCATAGAAATTTAGATTGCTTAGTTTCCTCGTGCAAAGAAGCTAGGAGGTTAAAATCTTGTACACTCCTGTGGGAAGAAGGTGGGGAAGAGGACCCAGTGTCTCTGCAGGATCCAGGAGCCTCGACTCCCTGGGGGCTGTGATCTCCTCAGCAAAGCACATCATAGTACCACGGGCCTCCAAAAAGGCGGTGGGAAAATTCCATTATCTTCTCCTTCCATTTTTTCCCTGAACTTTTTGAAGCCTCTTCTAACATATTTTTGGGACATACTTCAATACATAACAACAACCATTTAATATATATTTTAATTCAATCATGTTACGTTTGTTGAATAAGATTAAAACATTTCAATCACATTTGGTCTTGTTTCTCAATATGTACACAAAATATAGGGACTCTGATAGTGCACTCTTAGTACTAGGCTGCTAACTGAAAAGTCAGTGGTTTGAGCCCACTAGGCACTCCACAGGCAAAAGACGTGGCAGTCTGCAGCCACACAGATCTAGTCTAGAACCCCGATGGTGGTTCTTCTACACTGTCTATAGAGTTGCTATGAGTCAGAATGAACTCGGTGGCACGTACTTATCCGCAGCTGACCTTGGTTCCCAAGTCCTAGGTCCCAGACCAGATGGGAACATTCTTGTGTTTTAATTGCCTGCTACTTTCACTCACTGCTAGGGGCAAAGACAGTCAGTGTACATTGGGGGGAAATCATTTGGGTAACTCATTCATTGCCAAAGAGTCTATGCCGACTCAGCGACCCTACAGGACCGGAGAGAACGGCCCTTGTGAATCTCTGAGGCTGTAGATCTTGACAGCACTAGAAAGCTCCATCTTTGTCTCACGGCAGCTGGTGGTTTCAAACTGGTCTGCTGTGGGCAGCCCCAGGTGAAACCAACCACTACACCACCAGGGCTCCAGAAACATTTGACAGTAGATATAAAAAAACACTTTTTTTTTAAGGTTAAAATAAAAATAAAGCTGAAAATGACATAAATGTTTTAAAATAAATAGTTTACGTAAAATTTACAGTAACATTAGGATAGAAATAATGGTTGCAAAGGTTGTGAGGGAAAAAACATGGTTGTGATATAATAGCAAATGAAAAAATCAGTATAAAAATGACATGATCTGATCACACTGGTATAAAAATATTCAAATAAAAACTTCAAGAAAATAGGATTAAATGTTTCCTATAACATGAGCGGATGCTCTGTGTGATGAGTGGTTGGGCTGCTACAGCAAGGCCAGCAATCTGAAGCCACCAGCCCACTGCAGGGGGAAGATGGGGCTTTCTCCGCTGGTAGGGCTGGAATCTCAGCAGCCCAACAGGGCACTTCTGCCCTGGCCTACAGGGTTGCTATGAGTTGGAACGGACTTGATGGCAGTGAGTTGAGTATCATCTACACACCTGTTCAGATGATGTGTTTTCATATTCTGTGGTGTCCTACTCATCCATTGGACTAACTTAGGAAACTTACCATGTATATAGTACTTGTTAGCAGCTGAAGGGATTCTAGTCCATTTAATCTCATTGTCTTCATTAAGACTTTTCCACTCCAGGATAAAATACATGAGCTTGTAGTCACCGGGTAACAGCATCCAGGAAAGAATCACACAGCTGCTGTTCAAGGGGTAAGCACGGAGCAACTGCACGGTATTTACTGAGGGGAGATAAAATTCACTTTTTAATTCAAACTGAACGAAAGTCTCCTATTATCTCCTGCCCTTTAGGAACCTGCTATTTACAAGAGGAGGGCAGAAGAAGGAGAAGGCAGACATTCACACAAGGAATAAGGCAGAGAAACTACTGCATCACAAGAGCAATGTAAGCAACAGGATATGAGAATGTATCATAGGTTATATAGTAATCTACCTAAATGCTCATTAAAAACATGTTGGATAGAGCGAAAAAGGTGTCACAGCCAGAATGGCGCACAAGCCAATTAACTACCCTCTTGGATACTCCCCAAACGCCTCTTTCCCACTGCTGTAGGGATGCTTTCAAATCACAAACCCGGTCATTTTACCAGCTTCTATGCACAATCTGGCTGCTCAGTGCAGGTTGGAGGTGCAAACTCACCAGTTCTACCACTCGGGAGAAAAATGGGTAACAATCTGCTTCAGGAAAAATCTCCAGCCTTGGAAACCCTCGGAGCAGTTCCCTGCTATCCTATTGGGTCCCTCTGAGTTGGAATCCGTGCAACGGCAATGGGGATTTGCAAAGGTTAACCATCAAAGGAGACACTGGTTTAATATTTTGTACCTCTTCTTACCTTTGCTCATAGTCCTTGAGAAGGTCATATTAAAATTCATAAATGAGACACCAATTGAATTGATAGCCAAAATTGTGACAGTGTGTGCTTGCTCTGTCCAAGGGAAAGTGAATTTAGTGTCGTTCCTCAGATCTTCTGACCATGTTCCATTGCGGGCAGTGTGGTGCTTCAGCACATACTTTCTCACGCTGCACAGTGAGTCATTTTTCATCAGGGGCTGTAGTAAACATACATAGTCATTCCTTTCAGGGCCACAGTGCTTTTTGTATGCCAAATGAACTCAAGGGCCAACAACCAAGCTCGTGCAACTCTTATACATTTTCACTTAGGAGTCCGGGCAAGCATAGCCTATTTCAAGACGGAGGTAAGGCAGCAGATAAAGGGGGAGAGGGGAGAGGATTCTATACCAGCTTCTATGAAGGCTTCTGAATGGCTCTAGCCCAGGGGTCATCAGAGTTTTTAAACAGGGGGCCAGTTCACCGTCCCTCAGACGCGTTGGAGAGCCGGACTCTAGTTTAAAAATAAACTATGAACAAATTCCTATGCACACTGCACATATCTTATTCTGAAGTAAAAAACAAAATGGGGCAAAAACACCCCGTGGGCCGGGTAAATGTCCTCGGCGGGCTGCATGTGGCCCGTGGGCCATAGTTTGAGGACCCCTGCTCTAGAGCATAGGAAACTTATTTTCCTTCTCTTGGCTATTTTCTCAGAACTCAGAGAATAAATTACTTTGAGGTATACAGAAGTAGTGATCTCAGTAGGATTTGTTTCTACCAAGACTTCTCACCCTAACCCTAGAACAAAAAGAGAGATGGGCAGAAGTCACCTAAAGAAACAAACCCAGGATGACTCTTTCACCTGAAACAGTATAAAGCTGCAAAGATGGGAACCATCATTTATCTCATTCCCTGTAAGACATGCCATTCCTCTTCCCCTCCCCATGATCGGCTGTCCCTTAGAATGAGAGGCGAGGTATTTATAATAACAGATGTATATGGCACCCAGTCCTATAGTTTTTTCTTTTGTCTTTTTTAAAGCAAGATATGTCTTGAAAACCCCAAAATAAAATACATAACCAGCTCAATTCTATTTTCTAATTTTTCAGTATATCACGATAGACACCCTTAACCCCATCACCTTCACCAACTGCTGAGAAAAATAAATCCCACCGATTCTTTGCAAACCCATAGAAAGTTTAACTCCACACAACAGACCGAACTGGTGCTTCTCAACCCCTCCCAACCCCACTGAAGTGGCTTTATGCCAGAAATTGGAAAGAAAAATAAGCATGCATCCCTGTACGGCTTTGAGTAACCCACTGCCACTGAACCACGTGACTCATAGCTGCCCAATGGGAGAGAAGCACTGCTCCTCCTTGGAAGCAGGACCATGGAGCTGTTCCTACTTAGTTCACATTTGGGGCACAGACACTATTTTAGGGTCCCTGATGGGGCAGTAGGGAACCCTAAGAGTGTGGCCGCTAAGCACTCAGCTGCTGATTTGAAGGTCAGTGGTTATAAAGCAGTTGTGATGATTTTTAGCTGCTGACATAATTAGAATATGTTAAAGCTAAGACTAGATTAAAGGTCGTGAAGTAGGTTAAGTTTTGATCTTAACCCACCTGCCCTCCCCAGAAGCCCGAGGAGGCAGCTTGATTCAATAAAGGTTTACAGCCTTAGAAACCCTATGAAGAGTACAACTTTGTCCTACAAAACTGAAATGAGTCGGAATTGACATGAAGGCAGTGGGTGTGGTTTCTGGTTTGGAATTCTGCTCCTGTGTTCCATCCATAGTACAACTCAGTTATCTTTTATTATATCTCAAAAATGAAATGAAATATAAGATCCAGCGTCTTATGGAGATTACAAGAGAATGAAATAAATGGTGCGAGTCCACTGCTGTAGAAATAAACAGCAGGACAGACAGACACAAGCTCAGGCTTGCAGGACATGCAGTCTGCTGGCCAGGGGGAGCAGACAGACAGCCTGACTGGTGCCAGTGAACCACACCCCATCCACTCTGGTATATGAAACCCAGGATTAATGCACCTATAGGGACAGCAAGTAGAATAAGGGTTTCGGGGGTGGGGGTGGGGGTTTACAGTGGTGGTGGTGGGTGGGTGCGTAAAAGGGAGCCAAAGTCAAGGAGTTCAGGAAGGAAAAGAATGTTTGGAAACTGACTGTGGCAGCAATTGTGCAATACTGCCTGATGTGATTGAACTGTGGAATGATATGAAATCGGTATTAACTCCCGGTCAAATGGTTTTGCATAAAATTAAAGAAAGGTGACTGAAAAAAAAAACCTTGAAATGCATGCAGGGAGGCCAGAAATGCGAAGGCTGGCAGATCTGGTGTTTCTTCTTCCTAAATAAACTTCTTTTGCAATTCAAAAAAAAAAGCAGGAATACCTTCCAAAGCAAGGTGACATTTCTCTCTTTTTTAAGGGCATCCTCATTAGTTATTCCCCAAAATTCAGGTCCTCTGATTGGGACTGCAAAATGACAAGGAGTATAAGTATTAGGAATCCTTTCCAGCAATATTTGAAGTGGGCATCACACACTTTAGAAGACATATTTGTAAAATCTCTGCAGACCTTTTATGTCTGTGACAACTGTGTAGGCTGGATTACTCCAATCACTCCAATATCCTTTTCCATCCAGCCTCTTACAGCGCACCTGCGCAGCGTAGACTGCACACAGGTCTGACACCACAAAGCTGGCAGATCTTGATTTTGAGTCATATACCTCATACATCTGCAAAATAAGGCAAAGCATTATGCTAATCATTACTAACGCACATGCATCTCAAGTGCACTTAATAAACAATAACACAAGTTAACACTGTTCCAAAATTTAAAGGAAGTTACTCTGAGTTCTTGCTTTAAAATACACATTAGGCTGGGATTTTGAGCTTTTTCAAGAGAAAGATTTCCTTAACTGAGTATTGCCTTGCTGATGACAAATTTTGAGCTTCAAAATTTCAATAAAGAAGCACCTATTGTAGCTTATATTATTAAATTGCTATTTTATCTATGATAGGCTCATAAACAGACAATGGCCTTTACTTTTTGAGTTGTGTATTCTCCATATAAAAAGCAAAATGTGCAATTAAGTAGCATAAATAAGAAGAGCACAGCAGTTGATTGAGTTTTACTTATTTAATTTTTTTAGACTAAAGCAGGAGAAAGAGGCATGTTTTTCTCAGCTGTGTAACAAGGCTTGTATGATGGGGAACCTCTTTTCAACAAGAACTCCTAGGAAGAACCGACGTTATAGTCAAAGTTTTCATATGTGCGCCCATTGTTGAAGCCACCGTGTCAAGGCATCGCATTCACCGGCTCCTCCTTTTTCATGGTGCTTCTCCTTGGCCAAGCATGACGTCCTCCTCCAGGGCCTGGCCCCTCCTGAGACCATGGCTAGTAGCTGAGACAGAGTCTCCGCATCCTCACGTCTAAGGAGCATTCGAGTTGTGCTTCTTCCAAACCAGATTGAATCATTCTTCTGACAGTCCCTGACATATTGAGTATTCTTCACCAAGATAATAATTAAAAGGTCATGGATTGTGGATGCAAGCAAAAGAAAATCCTGGACAAAGTCAATCTCTTATCTGGAAGTATTTCTTTGGTCCAATTGTGAGGACAGCGGGCTATCTTCTGATTCTTGCCACAGACAAATGATGGTTTCCAGGGCTGCAGCCATTAGCTCAAGCACCTCAACTGGCATTCCCGTGATTCCAGGAGCGTGTTCTTCCATGCGGTGCAACCCATGCCTTCAGTGCAGACTGGACGTCTTCCGTAAATACCATTGGCTCTATGCCACGTTTTCAAATAGGTGAATACCAATCAATGCTTTTTGGTACAATAGGCTTTAAATCTTCTTTAAATGCTTTCTGTGTCATTCAATATTTCTCACATGAAATATTTCAATATTCCAATTTGAGGCTTCTTTTTTCTTCATTTCTTTCAGTTTGAGAAATGAACATATTCTTCATCTTGATTGTATAACTCCGTGTGTATGCATATTTCATTATAATATTTTACTTTGGCCTCTTGAGCAGGCTTTTGGAATCTTCTATTCAGCTCTTTAGTGTCATTGCTTCTAATAGTTTTGGTTATTTTAAAGTCAAGACAAAGTTTTAGTTTCATCTGATATCTATTTTGACCGTTTCTTTCATGTTTCTTTAATTACTGGTTTCATTTTTGTGTATGTCCTTGGCATCATCTCACAACTGTTTTCAGGCATTAAAGTTCAGTGTATTAAATCTATCCTTGAGATAATCTCTATTTATCTACGACTTCAATTAGAACTTGAGTATGATCAATTGATGGTTTGTTCCACAGAGGGACCCTGTCTTTGCTCTCATTGATAATACTGAGTTTCTCCATCATCTCTACATATTCTATCCATCAGGTCCACAATATAAAGTTGCCAATTATGCTTTTAAAAAATACACTTGCAATGAATAAGTTGTTGATCTTGCAAAATTCTTTCACATGTGTCCTCCACTGTGGTTTTTATCACCAAAGTCATATTTCTGATTGCCGAACTTTTAAATTCCTATTATGTGTAATTGTCAGTGAATTTGACTGCATGCCTGATCAATTTAAGACTACAGATATTGGCAAGAATCTTTCATTTCTTCATTTTGGGGATTAGTGGTTGATGCATAAATTTGAATTTAAGTTATATTTTTCCTTCCTTGTATAGACATTATCCTTCCAAATACAGCACTGTATTTCAGGACATACCTTGAAATGTTCATTTTTGACAACGAATGCAAGGCCAGACCTCTTCAACTTCTCATTCCCAGGATAGTAGACCATATAATTGTCCAATTCAAAATAGGGAAATCAGTTCATTTCAGCTCACAAATGCCGAGAATATGTATCTTAAAGCAGTCTACTTCATCTTTGGCAACTTCCAAGAGTCCTAGGTTAATATTGTGTCGGTTCCATATCTGATGACCAATCGATGTTTGGCGTTGTTTCTTCTCACTTTGACTCATGGCACATCAGGGAATGAAAGTCCCCAAAGATTTACTCCATTCATGTTGGCTCTACATTGAGGACTTTCATTGGGCATTTTGAGTTGAGCAATTATATGCTTTACTATACCAGGGATGACAACCTCCAGAGATATGGTGCCATCTTCACAGTCTAAAGAACATTTCAAGATCCATCTTGAAGGGCAACGCTATCTGTGACAGGATATTGTCTAAACTCCTACAAAGAAGCCCTGCCGATAAAACTACTACTTGATTTTATTCGCCAACCACCAAATCTAGTGATGAAGATCTTGAAATATCCTACCAATTTCTTCAATCTGAAGTTGATCAAAAATATAATCATTGACCATTATTGGCAATTAGAATGCAGTAGTTGGAGACAAGTAGAAAGGAACAGTAGTTGGAAAATATTAATTTTGGTGATAGAAATGCAATTAAGATCTCATGGTAGAATTTTCCAAAGATAACACCTCATTGATTGCAAATACCTTTTTTTAACAACAGCATTGGTGACTGTACATTTGTGGACATTATCAGATGAAATACACAGGAATGGAGTTGACCGTATCTGAGGGAAGAGAGGACTGAGAAGTTCTAAAACAGCAGCAGTCAAAGCAAGGCCAAGGGCTAACTGTGCAATAGATCATCAATGGATAATATGAAAATTCTAGTTGGAGCTGATTAAAAGTAAAGCAAGTCTAAGAGAGCCAAAAATGACCTTGTAGATATCCCACCTGAATATACAGACCAGCCAAAGAAGAGATTTGGTATATGGAACATTTATGACCCAAGACAAGATGAGTTGTGTGATGATGTCAAGAACTTCATACATGAAGAAGAAAAGGGTTACTAAAAAGAGAAAGAACGGAAAGCTCAAATGGATGTCAGGACAGATTCTGAAAAATTGCTTTTGAACATGTTACTGTTGGTAGGTGCCATCAAATTGGCTCCAATCCACAGTGATCCTGTGCACAACAGAATGAAACTCTACAAGGTCCTGCGCCAGCCTCACAATTATTCTTATCCTGAGCCCATTGATGCTGCCACTGTATCGATCCATCTCGTTGAGGGCTTGCATCTTTATCGCCACCTTTCCACTTTACCACACATGACGTCTTTCTCCAGGCACTGGTCTCTCCTGACAACATGTCCAAAGTATGTATGACAAATTCTTCCATCCTTGCCTCCGAGGAGTGCTCTGGCCTTACTTCTTCCAATACAAAACTTGCATCACCTGTTTGTCAGTGTCATACTTTCATGGCTTGTGTGATGTTGGAAGCTATGTCATTGGTATTTCTAATGCCAGATGGGTCACCCAAAGGGAAGAAGTTTCTACTGTAAGAACTTCCACTTCTAGAGCTTCCAGGCTAAGAACAGGCCACAAAGGACTTGGCTCCCCATTCTGGAGAATTGTATCTGGAAACCTTGTGCATAGCTATAAAGCTTTTGAACATAGAGTAGCTAAAACAAATGAATGAAATGATAAAGAAAAGAGATGGACTGACAATGTCAAAGGCCAGGTAGAGAAGACAAAGTATCATTGTGATATTTGCAGAACACAATCAGTATAACCCAAGCTGAAAGAATTGAAGAAAAACAAATCAGCTCTCAAGTTGAATTACATACTGAAGGATTCTGAGGCCAAATACTGAACAAGACCAAAAGCATCAAACGAAGTAGAAAAGAATAAACAAAAACTTCCTGTATCAAAGAATTGGTTGACCACCTAACATTTCAAGGAGTAGCATATAATCAAATGGTGTTAACCGAAGAAATCCAAGCTGCTTTAGAGGCATTAGCAGAACTAGGCCCCAGCAGCTGATGGAGCACCACGTGAAATGTTCCAACATGCTAAGGAAGCCCTGCTAAGAAATATGGAACTTGGCCAACTGACTGGAAGAGATCCATATCCATACCCATTCCAAAGAATGGTGACCCCATAGAATGTAGAATGTGGAAACTATCAATTTCATTAATATCACATGCAAATATGTTTTTGCCAAAAATAATTTAAAATTGTTGTAGCAGTACCACAGGGAACTGCCCGAAATTCAGGATGGATTCCGGAGAGGCCAAGAATGAGGTATAATTGCTGATGTCAAGTGGATCCTGGCTGTAAGCAGAGACTACCAGAAGGAGGTTAACCTGTGTTTCATTGAATTTTTAAAGGCATTTGGTTGTGTGGATCATAACAAACTATGGATAACATTATGAAGAATGTAAATTCCAGAACACTTCACTGTGCTCATGCAGAACCTGTACAATAACCAAGAGGCAGCCATTCAAACAGAACCAGGGGATACTGCATCATATAAAATAAGGAAATGTCTGTTTCAGGGTTGTATCTTTTAACATACATCTTCAATTTTCATACTGAAAAAATATTCCAAGAAGATGTACAATATAAAAAAGAAATGCTGAGACGAGAGAGGAAGATGACCACCAGAGAAAAACCGGACCAGAACTCTCAAAACCTTTGTGAGTTAAGAGTGAGGATTTAACAGGTAAAGTAGAATTCAGCATCAGAAGATCCAAAACAAACAATCCTATCATGTGAACGAGGAGGGTCAGAGCGGAGATCCAAAGTCCATCCGTAGACAACAGGACATCACCTCACAGAAGGGTCACAAGGAAGGAACGAGTCATCCAGGTTGCAGTATAGCACCTGCAAAACACACATTATTCTTTAATGCTTGCTCCCCACCCCCACCCCCATGATCATAACCCCAGTTCTACCATACAAATACAGCTAGACTGGAGCATGTACACTGATACAGATAAGAGCTCTCAACACACGGAATCCAGAACAGATAAACCCCTCAGGATCAATAATGAGAGTAGGACACCAGACATGGGAGGAGCAGGGGGAGAAAGGGGAACCAATCGCAAAGATCGACATACAACCACCACCACCCCCAGTTCCACAATCAGTACTCATGGAAGTAGCAGTTAAGAAATCAAAGACATCTTGCATTGTGCAAATCTGCTGCTACACAAGACCTCTTTTAAGTGTTCAAGATCAAAGATGTAACTTCCTTTGCGGACTAAGGTACCCCTGACCCAAGCCATTGTGTTTTTGATTGCTTCGTGTGCATGTGAAAGCAGGATAATGAATAAGGAAAACTATAGAATAATTGGTGGATTTGAATTATTGTATTGTCGAAGAATATTGAAAACACCATGGACTGCCAGAAGAATGAAAACATCACTCTTGGAAGAAGTACAGGCAGAATATCCCTTAGAAGAAAGAATGGCAAGACGTTGTCTCATATACTTTGAACATGTTATCAGGAGAAATGAGTCCTGGGAAAAGGATATCATGCATGGTACAGGATCAGTGCAAGAGAAGGAAGCCCCAGAAGGGTCGCAGGTAGAAGAGCCAGTCAGGGTGCAGTGTAGCCACTTTCCTCTAGTTCTTAAATGCTTCCTCTACCCCCTCCCCCCACTATCATGATCCCAATTCTACCTTACAAATCCGGCTAGACCAGAGCATGTACACTGACACAGAAAGGAAATGGAAACACAGGGAATCCAGGACAGATGACCCCTTCAAGACCAGTGGTGAGAGTGGCGATACTGGGAGGGTGAAGGGAAGGTAGGGTAGAAAAGGGGAACCAATTACAGGGATCTACATATAACCTCCTCTCTGGAGGACAGACAACAGAAAAGTGGGTGAAGGGAGACATTGGACTGTGTGAGATATGACAAAATAATAATAATTTATAAATTATCAAGGGTTTATGAGGGAGTGGGGAGCGAGGAGGGAGGGAAAAAATGAGGAGCTGATACCAAGGGCTCAAGTAGAAGGCAAATGTTTTGAGAATGATGATGGCAACAAATGTACAAAGGTGCTTGACACAATGGATGTATGCATGGATTGTGATAGAGTTGTGCGAGCTCCCAATAAAATTATTTTTTTAAAAGTTCTTCAGGAAAAAGATGCACAGTCTGCTTCTATGAAGATTACAGCCTTAGCGACGCCATTGGGCAGCTCTGCTCTGTCGTACACGGTCTCTGTGAGTTGGGATTGACTCTGTCAACAGGTTGGGTTTGGGTTTGGGTTTTGTACATCTGTGAGGTGGAGAGAGGGCTACCGAAATCTCTAGATCTAAGGTAATTATACCTTCCAGTGCACTTCTTTTCCTCTTAAACCATAGCGAATCTGGAACTGAAGATTGTTCTCTGGAAAGAAAGGCTTTTCCCAAGAGACTTTTAATAAGCCAACGTGTACAGTGATTTCTGCTTTCACACTGGATGGAGGCTGGGGTTTCACTAGAAATTTGAAAAACAGTATTATGCAACAGTAATTTAAGTAGTAATGACTAAAGAACATTTTAAGGTGTTATAACTTCACGCCTTGTATTTATAAAGCAATATCGTTTACAAAACTTTCTCTGCTTCCTATGATACATGAGCCAGAACTATGTTTTGCCTAAAATGTGACTGAAAATTGGCATGTTTTCCATGTGTCTCTGTAAGTATGACCTGACTAGAAATATGCCAGTGATTTTAAAAAAAGCAGTAACAAACTCTGTTACATAGAACTTCGATTAAAGGCCAAAAAAATGTGTATTGCATCTATCTCTGAACATATAGCTTCAAATTCTGCTGCTGCTTAAGTATGTCTAGGTCAAGGTCAGAAATCATCTTTCACAGTGAAAACTGAATTCTCTATAATATGATAAAAATAGGTTCTTAATGGCAGAGTCAGAAGAAAAGATGCCCCGAATAACAAGTACATTTTTAAAAAATAACTTTTTAGTAATAAATATATAGTGTGAACACCTGTTTAAAGATGCAATATGAAAATCACGGAATGATTTTTTAAAGGCTGTCTTTCATACTTTCTCACTCTTCACTATTCAAAAATTTCCCAAGTTTTTATGTTTTCCTTTAAGGGCCATTCTTGATAATAAAAGCTCAAAGGAACTGTGAAACAGAAGTCCCCAAGCAGAGCCCCTGTTGTTCCTGATTTCATTATAACTCCAAACCTTAACTTTATTCAGAAAATATATGGCACTCCTTCCAGGTTATATTTGTCATATATTATGTGTAACATATGTAATATATAATGTATTGTTTGTGTTGATGGGGAAGAGCAAGATTGCTCCTTGATACTGAAAAAAATCAATTGATTGGGGCTTTAGATTGAAAAAAGAAATGAAATCATGACGTTTATTCTCTACAAAAATGTTGATTAAAATTCACTGTGTTCTAATTACTTGAGGGAAATGAATGAGTCAAATCTTGACTTTTTAAATAACGTTTTCCATTTTCCCACAGAATAGTTTATAATCCCACAAACATTCTACACAATCATTAATGCATCATTTTCCATGAATTTTATATTGATATTGGAGCGATAAACCAAGTTTTCTAGACTTTCTTAATCTTGTGGTATCAAAATATCTGTGGATAAGAATGTTTTCAATATCAGAGACGGCATCCCTCCTGACTACATCCTCTTCATTTCATTCCAGTTGTCCTGAATGCCTCTGATCCCCCACACAGCCTCATACATTCACCACCGCGGTGAACCGTGCTCAGATTACAAATTCACCCGGAAGACACAAACTAAAACTTTAGACTAAAAATACCAGATCCTTTCATACATTGGGAAAAGAACAGAAACATGCCCATGATTTACACTAGCACTGTTACACTGCATTCACAATAACTAATTTCTCAAATTACTGGTAGCTGCCTGTGACTTGACGGCTGACTCCCGGCAGCCTCAACCACAGTGGCCATTGCGATTCACAGGTTCCCCACTGGCTAATTTTCAGGGAAAGGTCACCAGGCCTTTCTTCCCAGACTGGAATTTCCTCTAAAACCTGTGAAACGCTATTGACAACAAGCAGGCCTTCCCTAGTTGACAGTCAGGTGGTGGCTGTTTGAGGTGCACAGACTGAAAAAGGAACCCAAACCCCGCATCAAAGGAAGAACAGGCCGAAGCTCTTCTGCTCCAATGTGTGAAATAGCACACTGAAAAAATGTCCTTTTACTGGAAAAACTACACTAATAAATTTATATCAAATCAAGCTGGAGAACTAAGGCTAATTTCCTTCTCAATTCCACTGTGGAAACAGTTATTTTCTCTCTCTCTTGAATTTGATGTGATCAAGCAAATGGAAACCATACAATACCCCTGAATCGACTCCCATGCCACTGTGGCAGTAACAGTGAAGACGCGCAGCACGGTTTGACATACCCACAGAATCAGGGACCACACATGTCGGCGGAGAGTCAAGGGAACCGAAAGAATGACTGATCCTAATCCACATTGTGTAGCCGGATAATAGAAAGATCGGTTGAAATACACATTCATAAAAGCCATCTCTCTGCAAGTGGCAATCTTTGGATTCGTATGTGGGATGAATTGCTGGGCGATCAGAACAGTAAAGGCCGCTCCTTAAAATGTAAGAAAGCAGTCAATTAACAATAAGCATTAATGAAAGCAAACAGAAGAATTTTTGAGAATTCTGTCTTTGTTATTTAAAAGATGGACAGCTTTGCCACTTCTAACAAAACAGATGTTTTGCTAAAAACAGAATCCTCAGCTATCACACAATTATATGTCTTTCCATAAAAAGAGACATTTACCCTAGTTACATAATAACCCTTCAGTGTGAGGAGCCCTTGTGGCATTGTGATTACACGTTAGGCTGCCAACTGCAAGGTCAGCAGTTTGAAAACACCAGCCACTCCAAGGGAATCAGCCAAAGCTTTCTACTCTCTTAACCCACAGGGGCAGTTCCATCCTTTCGTATGGGGTCACTAGGAGTCAGAATTAGTGCGAGAGAAGTGAGTCACATAGGTGAGGATACAAATGAAATAAAATACATCATTATAATAAGGAGATAACAATCAGTTAAAGACAGAACCTATAGCAAGTTGGAAATCCTACATAAGTGGCAGTAGAGTTGGTAAAGTGTGGCAAAGGAAACAGGGCATTCTTGAACACAGAAAATAGACAAATTTACTACACATTAAATAAGTGATTGAAATCCACCACAAGTTGAGAATATAGCATACAAAAATAACAGATTAACTGAGTGTTCTGATATTTAATAGTTAAAATAATATAACTAAAATAATACCAATTCTAAACACATACATGAACCATATAGTTGAGAAGATTACCCAACTTCTCAAAGAATAAAACTTTTTTTATAGATGAGTCGCAAACAACACACTACCTCAGAACTCGCACAGCATGTATCGTCTGCCTTCAATTAACCCTTCTGTCACTATGTATTTGTTCTAAATGACTGCTGCAGCAGCAATGATTTCCATGAGATGGAAGTCAGAAGACTAGAAGATGAAATCCTAAATTCTTCTGGGTCTCATTTTCAACTTTTTGTCATGGATATTTTTCCTCTTTACTCAAAATTACAATAATAATCGATTATCTAAGGGGGGGTAAGAGATATAACTAAGGGATAAAAGGTTGTCTACCAGCAAATGTAAAGGTATTATCATTCTCATCGTGATCGTGATCAGCATTTACTGCATGCTTACTATGATTAAAGATATCATTTAATTATAACAAAATAAAATCATAAACAAAACAAAGCCCATTGCTAGAGAGTCAATGTCAACTCATCAAATGAAAAGTTATTTAATTCTCACAGAACCCCTATAAATATTACTATGCTCTCTCCATTTTACAGATGAGGAGACTGAGGCTTGGGGAAGCTAATTAATTTTTCTAGCCATATGCATCTAACTTCATGGCTTTTCTGTATATATTGCTATTAGATAAATGATTCACAGAGCTTATATTTTTTCCTGTAAATCAACAACAAAACAACCCATAAAGATCTCTCTTACAAGGAAACTATCATAAAAGAAAAGTGAAAATAGATTATGAAAATAAAATGGCATACCGTCAACAGTCTATTGATTTAAAATTACTCATATTCCTCAGTTGACTGCTATGATATTTTTCATAAATTTTTTAAAACCTCTATTTTGTGTGTTAATAACATACATTTGTGAGCAACAATGCTGAGGTATGAGGCAAGAATAATACTGGCTGAGACAGTTCGAGTTTTGTGCCAACTTGGCTCTTCTATGCTTCTCAGTGATTTGGCAGTTATGTAATGATGTAATTTGGCAGTCATATAATGATGTGATCACCTCCATGTTTTTGTGACCTAGTCACACTACATTTTTTCACATAACTCTGTTTCTTGCATAACAAATTAGTGAGGAGTTATTTTACTTGTATCGGTTGTGAGAAAAGCAACCAAGTTTCCATTTTTAAATGCAAAGATTGCCCTGTATTTTAATACTATGTAAGAATAAGGGTCCTTAGTGACACTGTGGGTTAGGCAGTGGGTTGTTCACTGCAAGGTGGGTTCTGCAAACACACCGGTTGCTCCAGGAGAGAGAGATGAGATCGTCTGCGTACATGAAATGATGCCACCCTGTTCAAGGGGTCGGTTTTATGTGGTTTGGTTTATGTAAGAACAGGTTATCAACATTAGGAATGCTATTCAGTGCACAGAATTTTAGAGTAGAAATTTAATTTTACAGTAGAAAAATTTAGATTTTTAAGAAGAAATAAACACAAGTTATACACATATAACATACAAAAAACACAAATAGAAATTTTCAAATGCAAATAGAAACACTAGGGCATAGTGTTTGGGAGCAGGATTTATATTACAAAACTATTTTGGGATATTTACAAAAATTTAAATGTACCTATCTTCTCCAATCAAAGGTGATGTTATTTTAGAAAAAACTCTCTGTAGAGAAAAGGGAATAATATAGGAAACACCTAAAACTCTCTTTTAAAACAGGGAACAGTAAAAAAGAAACAAGTTATTAGTTATTCTTTATTAGAATATTTCTTCTTATCTGCTATTACTTTTTTCTTAAATAATTTCAGTTAGTTCTAAGAAACCATTCTATATCTTTTAAATCTCTAATATTTTTAAAAATGTTAATCTTTATTCAAATGCTATTAAGCCTTTAAAATCCCCTATATTTTCTTTAAGTCAATTCTATTACATCAAATTAAAAATACATGTAAAATAGTTTAATTACATTCGAGTTAAAATGAAATTTTGAAGATTTCATTCACTACCAAAATGTTTTATTAAAAAGCAAATTACATTTTTTCTGGATCAAGTGTAGATTGTTTTCAGAATCACCAATTTATTTAACCCCTCCCAAACATTCAAATTAAGTGTGTCCTACCCTCCTCTTTCAGGAAGAAGATATTGAAGAATACTATTAGGAAGATATTTCCACAGAAACATTTATCTCACTCTGATGCAGAAAAATAAGACAGCAAAAGTAATACATACCTATAATACCTCAACTGCAAAGTACTTCCCAAAAGTGATTGGATTGTATTGGTTGACCATCTGCAAGTCATTTTAGTTAAGTACCCATCAGTTTCACATGATATATTGATATTGACATCTATTTAAAACACATTAAAATATTAACATAAAGCAAAAACACCAAAAATATTTGAATGAAAACAATTTCGTTACATCTTAAATGGGACTCCAAATCGAGTCCATAAGAACGATGTGAGTGATGGACTGTAAGGAAGAGCACCTCCGTATCTTACCAATCACATATAACTCCGCATAGCGGTGGTGGCACTCGCGCTCGCGGCAGCAGTACACTGCATTGTAGGTGAACTGGCCTCGAGGTTTGGTTGCATTCAAATTGGGAAGAGTAACTTTGCTAACACGGTCATTCATAACATTATACTGGCTTCGAGGAATTTTCTCAGCCAAATTCATCCACCAAACAATCTTTTTGGAAGAAACAATCTCGTTTTCATTTTTATAGATGCAGTGAAAAGAAGCATTAGATCCAGTGCTCGTGAGAATTTTAGGTGGAAAGTATATGACATCTGTAATGAAGGAAAATTATCAGAAAGAATTAATTAGAAAAAATTAGCAGAAAGTATTTCAGAGAAAGACAGAAGACATCATTTAAGGAACTTAAACTCTTTTTTAAAAGGATTTGCAATGCAGTCCAGGATTACATTTCTAAGGGAATGGATAACATTGTAATTGCTTGTTTGTGAATAGTTATTTAGTATCCCTACCACCCCAATCCTCAAGTGAATGGAGAATCCATAAGGTCTTCAATATCTACTACACAAAGATGTTTTACTAAGTAATTATTACTCATCTGGTGGCACAATGCTTAAGTACTGCTAACAATCAATAAGTCAGTGCTGGAACCCACTCCTTGCTCTGTGAGAAAAGATTTGGCAATAGGGTCCCATAGAGGTTATATCCTAGGAAACCCTGTGGGACAGTTCTACTCGCTTATTGGGTCAATATAAATTGCAATTGATTCTACAACACACAACTAACTAGGGTGGCAATTACCTAAAATGTAACATATAGTCTGGAACAGTGAGATATTTTCCATCAGGCCTTGTATCCTCACTCACTCATGCCCTGTCATTGAGTTGATTCTAACTCACCGCGACCCTATGGGACAGGACAGAACTACTTCAGTGGGTTTCCGAGCCTGTAACTCTCGACAGGAGTAGAAAGCCTCATCCTTCTCCATCTTTCGCCTGGTGGTTTTAAGTGGAGGACCTTCAAATTACCAGCCCCACACAACACCTACTATGCTGCCAGGGCTTCATAAAATGACAAAGGGGAAAACATCCCTATAAAGGAAAAGGGGGTGTTCTTTGGTTGCTATTGCCTTGTTGGAATATTTGAAAACTTCAAATACACAGGTAAATTAAGGGAATAAGATATAAATAAGAAAATTATTAAATAAAATTTATAATGCACTCAAAAAGATAAAAAAACCTGGAAGTAATGGTCTATAAAATTAATTTGACTATCCCAGTATCCCATTATGAAAGGAAACACATACTTTTGTAAAACATGATTTTTAAATAGTTTTAGTGGCATATATTTCGCATAGCACACAATGGAATCAATCATATTAAGATGTGTGCAATCATCACCACAATCAATTTCAGAGCATTTTCTTCTCATACTCATTGTTGTCAGCTCAGTTCCCCATTTCCTCTCATCGTCCTCTGGAAGACCCCGGTCTGGTGACTGTCTTTACAGCTCTACCTAGCCTGGATTTCTTCTATGGAGAAGCATACAAAACAAAACACAACCACGCAAAATCATACAAAGCAAACAATCAAAAACCCAACAACAAAGAGTAGCCAAACAGAAAAACCTCAATGTAAAAAAAGCAGAAAATATTAAAAACTGAAATAACTTTAAAATGGATCAAAAGGGAGATCAAAAGAAAAGGTATTATATTTTAAACTAACTACATCAGCCGTAATCAAGTTTATAATGCTCTCTGTCTGATAGCAAGGTTATTCGCATTCACGTTCCAGAGGAAATTCACCGGAGACTTAATCAAAGTAGGACCCTGCAAACGGATGTTGGGCTTCCACTGTCATCCATAGCCTTCTGCAAACCAGGTGTTCGCTATTTATTCTCTGATAACAAGCATGTCTTCCTTTGAACTTGGGTTTGATTCCTTACAATCCTTGGATCACATAGGCTGGTGTGCTTCTTCCATGTGGATTGAGTTGCTGGCGTCACTTAGATGGCTGCCTGTGTTATGGCAAGCCTATGCGGCCTCAGATGCTATTATTTCTGATAGCTGAGCACTCTCTGCTTCTTCACCACATTTAGCTATAGCACCCACATCTTCAGTGATCCTTCATAAGGGCAAGAATCAAGAAGAGCCATGTCATAAGAACTAATTTATCTTAGATTGGGCCTAGAATTAAGTTGAGGCCAAAACCCATTCATATATCTATGGTTTGTATCTGTCTCTGGTTCCTTCCAGAATGTCATTATAATTTTATGTGAGTGAAGATTATAAATCATCCTCCTGGGGCATACGTTAATTCTTTTGACTGTGTCATTAACTTAGCCAATGATATAGAATTTCAAACACTGCGGAGCAAATGAGATTATTTAAGTGTACGCTGGTTTCAGACTGAAATACATGAACTGTTGGCCTGTACAGAATAAACTTTTAAATAACTGAACATGACTTACACAAAAATGAGGGTCTGTGTAAATGATAGGGGGATACTTTCAATAGCACTTGTTAACAAAGGCAGAACCATGCCTATGAGACAACATATTTCATGAAAAAGCAAAGAGAGAAATAAAACAGTATCACTCAATGGGCACTCTCAAAGCACAGGATCAGAACAAAGCCAACAACCACTACTTCCAGAGCCTTAGGAAAGCAGTCGTCTCGTTCTTCTCACACTAGGGTGTTTCAGCCTTAAGTTCAAGGGAATATGTCAATTGCATATATCTGCTATCGGTGAGTTTGATGTATAGTCCAGTTCAATTAGTGGGGTTTCCATATTGAATCCTTCTGGTAAAACATGATTTTTAAATGCCTATAATACTATTCCATACTATTTATTCAGTCTTCTATGGCTGAAAATTTGGTTTGCCCATTTTCCCCAAAGGAACACCACCACCATCAACAACAAAAACAGCAAGTAATTGTTTAAATAAAAAAAATTCTTTATACCACAGTGCATGACAAAGATATCAACCTTGTGCAATTTAAAGTAAATCATTTTCTGCTGATAGCATATGAATGATCTGTTTTCACACATATCTTCTGGGTTATCTCTTTTTTAAAAGAACCTCGTCATTGTTGTTATTGGTTTAGTTATTCAATATAGAATAAAACTCTATTCAAAAATAGTAGGTGCAACTGTAATGTTTATAATTTACTTCAGGAATTTTTACTTTGTATTTCTAAAGTCTTAGAGAAACAGGGGGAAACCCGAATGCTTCAAACTACTAGAGAGTGACCATTCCAGGAGATTCATGGGCATAATCGAGTATGATCCTCGCACAGGGTGGCACTTAAGCTCCATTTGGATATAACTTATTGCAAAAGAGTAACTCGCACTGCTGACCTATCTTCAGAACAATCCACATTTCACTATTAAACTGCTTTAAAAATTCTCAGACTACTTCTTTAAAAACAACAACAACAACAAATGAGCTTTCGTGAATTAAGTTAAATCTATTCATTTTAAAACTCAAAATACTTTCATTTCATCAAATACATAATCAGGTTAGTTGATAAATTAAAGCCAGGCTACTTCGCATTATGAAAGACTAAAATGCCTGCTAAAAATTAAAACAAGTTAAAAAAACCTGAGGTTGGCAAAATAATAAAACAATGATGTTTTTCTTTTCATGGCCAAGGAGCAATACCTGTAGGTAGCGATACAACTAGGACTTTATTTTAAAAAGAAAAAGTCTGTTGACAGTTATGAGTAAATTATCTAAAGGAATATAAATTATAAATCACAGAATTCTGGATAGTAATTTTAAGATGTGATTATTTATTATAACTTCAGAAAGTAGGATTTTAAAATTGGGGGGTGGGGGAAAGCACCTACATTTTGCTGCCAAGCATAAAATCAAAAAATTGCCTAATATGTTTCTCCCCTTTTTGAACAAAACAGAAAATGCAGATAATAAAGGTATTGTATAAGAATTTGGCTCTTTTAATGTTATTTTCAGTCTGAAGCATAGTTAACTATGATATTCTTGGACTTCACATATTCTGGCAAAGGTCCTGATTTTCTTTTCTGCTAAAAATCTAAGACTTCCTAATCACAATAGAGAAGCTATCCAAATAATTTCTAAAGAAACCATAAGAATTCCTTGATTACTAATAGTCAATGCCTCATTAACTTCACAACTGGCAGGTACAGCTTTAATGTACTAAGAAATAAAAAGTCAAACAACTCAACTCAGCCATCAAGCGAGCGGAGTCCGATTCAGAGCCCTTATAGGACAGAGTAATATTGCTCCTTTGAGTTTCAGAGAGTGAAAAACTTTATGAGAGCATGAAGTCTCTTCTTTACCCCCACAAAGAGGCTAGAACTTGAAAATTGCTGCCCCTGCAGTTAGCAGTGAAACCTGTAACCCACTGTGTCACCATAGCGCCTCAAATAAAAAGCAGGTGCTGTAAATGTTGTAAATTAACACCAATACAGCAATTGGTATTCAGCTGGCTAGGGCTGCAACGGAATATACTACAGCTAACAGAATATGGCTGCAACACATCAGGCAACCTCAGTTCAAAATTCAATATAGCTGAAAATGTTTGGAAGTGGTAAACCAGGTGTCCAAATTCATTCTTCAAAAGATCCTCATGGTTACCTTATATCCTTCAAGAAAAGAAGATTACGCCTTTGGAATCCGCCAAAAAAGTCGCCATGACCTTCTGAACGGCCCTCTGGCTTGAATCTGACTGAGCCAGCAGATGCCCTAGGAAACTCGTTTCCACAGACCTTGTATTTGAAGGCAGTCTAGGGAGACTAAGACAAACATCTTAATAGAGAATTTGTCTGCAGTCATTCACTGGTAGACATTTTTTAATAAATCCACACATGTGTAAACTGTAAATAATAAGAACAAAATCTTCAGAAGAGAATAGTATCAGAGCTTAAATTGTGAAAACCCAGTTTTCAGAAGGCTGTGGATGACAGTGGAGCCCAAACCCACTTGGAAAACCCACACACGGATGAAGCCTCTCGTGAATTTCCTCTGAACATAGTCCAGGGATATGAATAGCCTTCCTACCAGACAGCGAACATTGTAATACGGATCAGGGCTGATGTACCTTACTTCTCATTTGATCTCCCTTTGGACTCATTTTAAAGTTGTTTCAGTTTTAAATATTTTCTGCTTTCTTTTCAGTTAAGGTTTTTCTGTCTTTTGCCTAGTCATTATAGTTGGGTTCTTCATTTGTCTGCATCCTGCTTGTGTTTTGCATGATTTTCTGTACATGAAATCCAGGATAGGTAAATCTATAGAGATAGTAACTGGATTAATAATTACCTAGAGGGGATGGCAGAGGAGGATGGTGTGTGGGGCAGGAATGGGAAGCTAACAACAATGAGTAGGAGAAGAAAATATTCTGAAATTGATTCTGGTGATTGCACAACTCTTTTTACTATGACTGCATGCTCAAATTGTATGATATGTGAAGTATATGCCAACAAAACTGTTTTTTTAATTGCCAGAAGGAAAAAAAAACTCTCCCTATCTTAGGCCTGCTATAATAGAAATGCCCAAAGCGGGTGGCTTTCCCATACAGAAATTTATTTCCTCACAGTTTACAAGGCTAGAAATTAGGAGGCTTAGGTTAGGACTGACCACACATTACCAAATGGAGGATAGTTACATCAGATCACAAAATGAAGAACACACAACCTTGGGGGGGAAAAATCCCCTTATGAAATTAGCACATATTTTGGAAAACACAACACCGATTCTTCATCTCCTTGACATATATAAGCACATTCACCCCATCACGTCATCTCCAAAATCTCACTTTCTGAGTCATCTAAATCAAACATCTAAATCAACCTGGAGCAAAATTCTTCACCTGTGAAATCTAGAATATAAATGACAATTTCCCAAGTACAATGGGCAACAGTCACAAGGTAGACATTTCTACTACAAATGGAAGAAATTAGAAGGAATAACAAGCACCAAACAAGTCCAAAAGTTAAAAAAAAAAAACATTAGCTCACAAGACGTGAAAATAATGACCTATCCTCTGGCCCCACCTAGGTAATAATAGACTTGCCCTCGACACTTTTGTGTTGACCATGTTCCCCGTATTCTGGGTAGAAGCCCTTCAGGCCTGGGCTTCCAAGACTAGCAACTCTTCTGAGGCAGCAACTCTACTCCCCCGGCTTTGGGGGGCTCCATTTCTCCAGTCCATCTGAGTAGCAACCCCACCCCCTTGGGCCCAGCAGGTCCTTTTTCTGCCCTTTGGGCATGGCAACTCCACTTCTTCAGCTTTGTGTGACAGCTCTGTCCTCCCACTCCACCTGCAGAGCAGCCAGTCTGGAACTGAATTGGGAAGGTCTGACTCGAAACGTAACAGGTTGTGACCCCTCTCTCCAAAGTCGCAGAGGTCCTGTGTCACCCTCTGAGACCAAGGCAACTCTGCTTCCCATGCCCTTTGCACCAGCTCTGATGAACTCTGAGTTGTTCCCGGGATGATTCTTTTCTTTTCCTGGTGGATAACAGATATAGATAATTTAAGCCTGTTTCCTGCCCGCAGAATTTGAGAAGCGAATAGCACTCCCTCCTTTCGTTCATTCTCTGTCCCCGTTAGCCTAAAATCTGATGAGTTTTCTGCTATGGTCATTCCTTAGATCTATCAGTAAGCGGCTCTCAAACCAAATCTCACGGGCCTCAAGTCTATTCTATCTCATAGGGACCCTAGATATAGAACAGGGTAGGTAGACCCTGCCAGGTTCCAACACTGTAACTGTCTACTGGAATAAAGTCTCCTCTTTCTCCCGAGGAGCGGCTAGTGATTTTGAACTGTTGGCCTTGCAGTTAGCAGCCCAACACATAACCACTATACCACCAGAACTCACATGCCAGTGGATTAGACTCTTAGCAAATGCTTGTGTACCTATGTCTTTGGCAAAAATCCCAGGTACGGAGACAAGATGGCAGTTTCGCAGTGAGGACCTATAAAGGGATGAAAATAGATGCGCCAGGGAGCAGATGTTTCAAACCGTTTCTCTTCATCACATCTTTTGCCATACCATCTGACACTCGCATCTCAGTCCACCATGCCAGTAGCAGCAGTCACATGGGCGCTGTCAACCAGAACTGTCCTGAAATATTTCTTATCAACTCGAAATGGAGTTTTATACAGTGTTTGTCATCAATCTACACAGCCCCTCGCAGATGACCATAAGTGGAAGATGGTGCTTGCTTGGACATCGGATAGCAGGACAGTAGTATGCTACTGCCCTTCTGTGGACATTCCATACGAACATACAAAACCTATTCCTCGGCCCGATCCTATACATAACAGTGAAGAAACACATGATCGTGTGCTGAAAACTAGATTCGAAGTGAAAGGTGAGCCCCTTGAACAAGGTCCTAGGATAGAACAACTTAGCAAAAGGTTCTTTACTACGAAGCACCGTTGGTATCCTCATGGGCCGTATCACAGATGTAAGAAATTGAATCCTCCAAGACAGATTATTTCAAGGTGCTCATTAGGAATCAGAGAGAAATGTTATCTTTTGCCTCATTTTCCACTTGAGAAAAATATCCGATGTAGTCCCTACTATGTTACAAATAAAGTAATTTTTAAAAATTCCAGGTACATGTCCTTAGTTTGTATGGCAGAATTTTCCAAAACTTCAAGCTTTGTTTTCATTTTTCACAATTTGCACCCATTTCCTTTCACATATTTATTTAAGTGGCAAGGAGAAATCAAGGGGACCCTTTAATATCTGGCTAAAAAGTATCATCAGCCAGATATCCAAGTTCACCACCTGCAAGTTCTAACTTCCATCAAACATTCATTGCCACTACATAAAAAGGATAACCCCTCTTCCACTGTCCAATCACATATTCATCATTTTTCTGGTAAAGCCTCACGCAAAACTCATGCAACAACCACGTTTCCAGCAATAATCAGTTACTGGTGCCATAACTATTCTGTAATATGATAGAGATATTCGCTGTAGCCCTCCTCACTTCTTCCTGAGCCTTTACTAAAATCACCATTGCTATGCAAAATTTTATCAGCAAAATCTTCAATGCAATCTAGTCTTTTACTTCTAGACACCTTTTCCTGCCTCTACCCATCACCTATTGAAGAAGACCAAAAGCCTCCCAACTGGACCCAAAGTGATGTCATCATGAGTGGAAAAAATTAAAGTTGTGAAGGATTTTGACTTGCTTGGATCCAGAATCAATGCTCATAGAAGCAGCAGTCAAGAGAGCAATCTATAAGTTGCATTAGGTAAATATCCACAAAACCTCTTTAGAGCATTGAAAAGCATGGACGTTATTTTGAGGACTAATGTGAGCCTGAGCCAAGCCATGGTATTTCCGATTGCCTCGTATGCATTTGAAACGTGGACATCGAATAAAGGAGACCGCAGAAGCATGGGTTTTGAATTGTGGCACTGAGGAAGGACATTGAAAGGACTGCTAAAAGGGCAAACCGGTCTGCCTTGGAAGTACGGCCAGAGTGTTCCCTAAGAGGCAAAGATGGGGAGACTACTATGGAAACACAGAAAACAAGGAGCTATTACTTATTTTTAGCAAGTTTTCATTAATTTCTCTGTTCAAACTTTAAACATAATTTCATATCATCTCTTCCTTTGGGTTTAGTGTCAGAATATGCCCATAATGTGATGAAGGTAAATTCAGGAGCTATCTTGACCCCTCAGTAGAGGCTACTACATCGTGAACATAACACTCACCGTGGGTGGTGAAGATGTAAGGGCTGCTCCAGTCACTCCAGATCCCTGGGCCATCCAGCCTCCTGGCCCGCACCTGAGCCTCATAGGAAGACCCAGGAAGCACGCTGTCTATTAGCAGGGACGTAGCAGAGACCATCTCTGCCACCTGATAAATGGTGAATGAGAAATAGTATTTTAAAGCATCAGAGAATCAAATCAAGGGGAACTGATATAGAATGAATGGTGACCCCCTAAATATGTGTTGTGAGTCCCAACTCCTATACTTATGATGCGATCCTTTTTGGAAATAGTGTTTTCTTTTTTATATTATTGAGACTATATCAATGTTGGCTGTGTTTCAAGCCAATCACTTTTGAGGTGGAAATGAGCAGATTAGACACAGAAAAAGAAACAAGCAAAAGTGGGTGCTTGTTGGCTGAGATAAATACCAAGGTATATGAGGATTGCCGGTGAGCCCAGGAACAGAAGCTGAAAAGAGCAAGGACCTTCTCCCAGAAGCTAGAGTGAAAGAAAGCTATCCCCTAAAGCCCACATCCTGAATTTAGACTTCCAGCCCCTAAACTGTGAGAAAATAATACTTGTTTGCCAAAGCCACTCCCTTGTGGTATATGGTAGTTCTGTTCTAGCAGCACTAGGTAACTAAGGAACCTTTATCAAAACTGACCATCAGCAATTCTGAAAAATATGAAGGAATTAAAGTTTCACAGAGTATTTATCAGAGCCTTGGTGGCATGCTGGTTACAAGTTGGGCTGCTAGCTGCAGTTTGAAACCGCAGGAGAAAGATGGGGCTTTTTTCTCCTACAAAGATTTACAGTGTTTGCAACCTACAGGCCAGTCCTAGTGTACGCTAGAGGGTCTCAGTGAGTCAGCATCAACTCGTTGGCAGTCAGTTGTTTGTTTTTTCGGTTTTATCAGAGCATAATGGAATGAGAGCGAAATCAATGACCAATAACAAATGATTGCATGCCCATCATTAAATAGCCAATGGACCCAAGTAACAAGATTAAAATGTCGATTAGGAAATAGTCTTTACTGAATGCCTGGCCTTTCAACTTTTGAGGAATGCAGCCAAGGTCAGTTAGAAATTTTAAGCCCCAACTGCCATCTGTCACATGAATGGTAGAAAACAATGTGCAAGGGGGAAGAGAATAGAACTCTGTGTGTGCTAGAGGGAAGTATGGAGAAATTCTAGAACCTGAGCCCACTGACCAGCTACCACGAATGAATCAAATTACCATTTCCAAACCATGCGAAAAATATCCAAGAGCCCAAACCATTAATTTATGAGGCTTCAAAAAGTTTATGGGAAAATTGAATAAAAAGATAATGGAATTTTTGAAGTCTTGTCATCTATAGGCATGAACACATATGATTATAATTAAATATATATTTTGCGTGAATTTTGTAATTTATGGACTTGATGTTTTCAATATAAGGTACAAAATTATATCTTCAGTTGGAGTGAAAATGTATTGGAAGCTCAATGATTTGGGAAGAAATATTTTCATGAGTCACCCTCAATGTCAGAGTATATATCAAACTGCTATTTTTATGTTATAAATATGACAAAAAGAAAACAGCCCAAAGTCAAAAATCAATGTCTATAAAAGTTCCCACACCGCATTTCACATTCTCATAACTTTTAAACGCCAATGGAAAATTGGTCTTTATCCGTATTTATTTTTTTCTTGTGATTTATATAACCCTTATTTTCACAAACTAAAAGGGTCTGTCCAACAGTATTCATAGAAACTTTTGTTTTCCTGTGCTTTTTTCCCCCCTGAACTTTCTTTTTTTAATCATTTTATTGGGGGCTTGTACAACTTTTAATTCAATCCATACATACATACATCGTGTCAAACACATTTGTACATTTGTTGTCATCATCATTCTCAAAATATTTTTTTTCTACTTGAGCCCTTGGCATCAGCTCATTTTTCCCCTCCCTCCCGGCCCCCCTTCCTCACAAACCCTTTATAACTTATAAATTATTATTTTTTTATGTCTGTCCGAAGTCTCCCTTCATCCACTTTTCTGTTGTCCATCCCCCAGGGAGGGGGTTATATGTAGATTCTAGTGATCAGTTCCCTCTTTCTACCCCATATTCCCTCTACCCTCCCAGTATTGCCGCTCTCACCACTGGTCCTGAGGGATTCATCTGTCCTAGATTCCCGGTGTTTCCAGTTCCTATCTGTACCAGTGTCCATCCTCTGGTCTAGCCAGATTTGTAAGGTAGAACTGGGATCATGACGGTGGGGAGGAAGCATTAAAGAACTAGAGGAAAGTTGTATGTTTCATTGTTGCTACACTGCACCCTGACTGGCTCGGCTCATCTCCTCTCCGTGACCCTACTGTAAGGGGATATCCAGTTGTCTACAGATGGGCTTTGAGTCCCCACTCCGCACTCCCCCTCATTCACAGTGATATGATTTTTTTGTTCTTTGATGCCTGATACCTGATCCCATCTATACCTCATGATCACACAGGCTGGTTTGCTTCTTTCATGTGGGCTTTGTTGCTTCTCAGCTAGATGGCTGCTTGTTTATCTTCAAGCCTTTAAGAACCCAGGCACTCTATCTTTTGATAGCCGGGCACCATCAGTTTTCTTCACATTTGCTTATGCACCCATTTTTTCTTCAGCGATCATGTCAAGAAGGTAAGCATCATGGAATGCCAGTTTAATAGAACAAAGTGTTATTGCATTGAGGAAGTACTTGAGTGGAGGCCCAATGTCCATCTGCTACCTTAAAATAAACCTATAAATATATGCACATAGATATATTTCCCCATCATCATATATATATTTACATATGCACATGCCTGTATTTAAGGCCTCTATAAATGCCCTTTGCCTCCTAGTTCTTTCCTCTATTTCCTTTTACTTCCCTCTTGTCCCACTATCATGCTCAGCCTTCATGTGGGTTTCAGTAATTCCTCTCGGTTACATTACCCTTGATCAAGCCTTACCAGGTTTCTTACACCCTCCTCACCACCGGTTTTGGATTCCCTTGTCCCTAGGTTTGTTAACACCACTTCCTTTCCCCCACCTCCCCCTCTCCCATGTCATGTCCCCCCAGAACATAGAAACTTTTATAAAACAAAAATATCAAAATGTGAAGCTATAGTTTCTTGATACAGCCTCCATCTAGATCTGCATACTTCTGAAGGTGGTGTTTCAACCTCTTTATCCCTTCCCCAAAGAATTCCACACATTTTTATGTCCACCATGCACTGGCAGTTTTGGGATAATCAAAACATGTTCTTTTTACATATTCATTGTGTTTGTGAAACTAAAAGAAATCTGAAGGGGCAGGATCAAGGCTGTGAGGTAAATTGGGGTAAGGTTTCCCAATGAAAGTCTCTTCTCTTGCTACTCTTGAAATATGGGCATGTGAATTGTCATAATGGGAAAAAATTAGGTGCAATTTTCCTAGCCCTTTTCTCACCAATGCAATTTTCAATTTTCTTAAAATATCTTCAAAATAAGCTCCCATGATCATTCTGTATCCTCCAAGAAAATCTATCCTAATTATCCCTATGGAATCTTCAAAATCTGTCTCCATAAGCTCCTAAGCTGACCTCTCTGCCTTGATTTAACTGGCCTACCAGATCCTCTTGTAAGCCAGCTTTGATTGGACCTTTTTTTTTCAAGGCACCCTACTGAAACTGAGAAAAATATATGACTGACACAACTTGTCTGCAGCCATCCACGGATCATGGAGACATGTTAAATGCAGTTTGCTTAGACAAAACCACTACCCATATGTGTATTAACTAGAACCCTAGTAGCAATGCTTTCGTACCTACTTACATAAATTGCAAACTCCTTGCATGGTCCACAAGGGTCTTCTTGATCTCCTTCCTCTTTCACTCCATCCACCTCATCCCCTGAGTTCTCTCCATCCTTTCTCTAATTAAATCTCCTGTCATTTTCATCCTCACAGCTACACTGGCTTCTAGATGTTCCATACACGGGGTCTCCCCACCCTGTTCTCTCTATTTAGAGTCATCTCCCCCAACATAGATATCTGCATCACCATCTTCTTCAAATCTTTGTCATATGTCACCCTCAATGCAGCCTCCCCAACCTCCATTTAATATTACACCAACTCCACCAGCACTCCTAAACGCCTCATCTCTTTTTGCTATTCCAATCTCACTGAAGTGCCTCATGCAAGTAGATTAGTTCCTCTCATTTTGTAGATGCCCATTACAGACAAAAGGACTTTGAAAACTCATGAAAAAATAAAATTTCCATGAACTTTTTGAAGCTCCCTCATACGTAATGAATGAATTATATTTTAATATGCTTTACAGTAAAAATGTATGTATTGCATATAAATAAGTATATTGAGCCACACAAAGTATGGATTAATGTAAAATCAGACAATCGACGTGCAAATGTTAAGTAAAATTTCAATTACGAATTCAAGTTTCCGTAACTGGACTTCTTATAGGCATTCAACCATATAAATTTTTATGTGTGTATAGGTGTGTGGTAAGCAGATAGCAGACAGTCAAATAAATAAATGGTTCTAATACACACAAATTTTGAAAAAGCACTAAATTCTTGGAGGCATTTATTTTTTAATATATAAAAGTATATAGATTCACATATAAATAATATTGAGTAATGTGAAATAACTTACTAAAGATATTCTCTAAAAATTCAAGAATGTTATTCCTATAACCATTTCCTATGACAATCTTGAATTAGATGATCATAATATCAGAGTACCACTCACTCTGCCCTGGAAAGATCATGTGCATCTGGTATGCAGAGAGCAATTTCTATGAGACTTAATGAGGTTTCACCTGTTCTGTAGATACTTCTCAATGTTTCATTTTATTTGCTAAAATATACTTACTTCTTTCACATTTGTTGTAGAATTCTCAGAATATTTCACTTGATATTGAAGTTGAAATGGCACTGGAGTTGGGCTGGACCAAGATATCTTTAAATTGCCATTGTCTGTGATTTCCATATGTAAACCTAATGGTGGATCAGGCTTGACTTAAGGAAAAAAGAAAAGAAAACATTTACATCAAACAACCTTTATGAGAAGTATGTCTGAGTAATATGAAGGCATGATTCATTTTCAGCATATCCTATCCTTTCAGTGATGTCACTAATGACTTTAATTAAGGTCTAATTACAAAAATGTAACCCATGCTATAATCACATCTACAACTTATGCCTTACCACAGGAACCCATGCATCTTCATTTCCTCTCCCCAAATGGTAAAACTATGATGACATGTTATCCATTATCCAGTGTTTCCCAAAGTCATGCTGCCCTTGAGAGGTGCCAGAATGACCCAGGGAGACCACAAAAGCACATGCCTGCATTTTGCCCTGAGATAGACCAAAAACTGAATTAAAACAAAACTTTCTAATTTGCAAGGAGACACCGAACAATTTTTTTTTTTTTCTGAAAAGGGTGCAGTAGCCAAATGCATTCGGGAACCTATGCAACAGACCCATAATGTAAATACATCGCGGTTTGTTTTTCACGTTTCAGTTGCCAGAGCAGAGATCCCTATGCCAATATTACATTGCTTTAAAAGCTGTGACTACTGCTCACTGAGACTAATCAGCATGCATGATGGGCTAAAGGTAAGGCACTAATTTAAAACCTGTAATCAATTTTTAACAAATCTCTATGATTAATGTTGATATTTTTATCTTATGTAAAACTTACTGATACTTATGGGCTGAACTGTCATTAGAGGTGACTGAAAAATGGCTCCACCAGATGAGATTTCCAAAAACATGAAGTAAGTACAGTTGAGTTTGGACGGTAACACAGGCACATGACATTGACAACACTCGTGGGCACTGCAGTTGCACTTCACATTCCTAAAACTGTCCTTCTCGGGGAGCAGAGATAAATCTTCTAACACCTCAGACCTATAATTAGGAAATAAGAGCAAAATGTCTGTGTATAAAACTGATCAGGACCTGATTAAAGTCCTCTACACTCTATATGCATGGTCCCACACAATCATTTGGTGGAAATTACAAAGAAATGGAGAGAAAAGCCCTATCAAATTTCACTTCACTTGAAGTATGGATTACACCTCAACATTAAGAAAACAAAAATTGGGTCTACTGGGAAGATGGCGGACCAGGGGACCCACTTACTTTGAGAGCTCTCTCGAACTAGGTGGGTTTGGTGTCCAGGTAGCCGAGTGGTAGGCGTCTGGTGAGTGAAATATCCCCCCGGGCCAGCACCCCACCCTCAGCCCACACATTTGTCCTGAGCCAGGGCCTCGGTGATCCAGGACCCGATTCATGGGACATCTCAGGTCATAAGCCCCCGCCATCGGAGCCAAGACTAGCGATAACCCCACTCCATCCCCAGACCAGGGCCCCGCGCCCAGAGTCACTTTCCTGCTCTGCCGAGACATGCGCAGTGATGGCGGGAACCCCGACAGCAGCTGCCCACTCGCGGAACCCCACTAGGAGAGTAGTTTCTCCTTCCCTCGGGCCCCCTCTTTCCACGTGGCAGCGATCTGCCCTTGGGCTCACGTCCCTCCCTCCATTCATCCAAAGCCCCGGGTGGCTGACCTGCAATCTACCAGGGGCTGCCTGGGCGACCCACACGGGAGACCATCCACCCCCACTGCTGCCTGGGACCTCTCTACTGGCACCCCATTTGCCAGCCGCCCACCCCTATCAGCCTAGCTCCCACTCCATTCCCGGCCTGGGAAGCGGAGCAATGCGCTTCCCGCTGGCGCCAAGCCCACCGGAGCCCCCGCGGAGCGCCAAACCCGCCTGCCACGGAACAGTGGGCGCGCCTGCCCACTGGGAGCACGAGTGACAGGGCTCTGCACGCTTGCCAGAGCGACCTTGCCCTCCCTGGTGCGTTAAGGGGTTTCTCATGCCCAGTGGCTCCGAGCTTTGAGTCTGCCACACGACGTGCTCCCCTCATGGTAGAGGACAGGAACCATTGCCGGCTGCTTCCCACCAGAGCCGCTGCTGTCTGATCCGGCTCAGACCACAGCGCTTAGGAGCCTGCGCCGCTCACAAGGCCGGCAGCTCAAGTGATAAATGCTCGCCGGCTAGGGAGCCTGGGAAGCAGCTTTGCATTCCCCGCCAGAGCTGTCTATGTGCTCAGGTCAGCTCTTACCACTGTCGAGCCAGCTTCCAAGCCTGCCCCAGCCCTCTCCAGCCCGCATAGGAGGCAGGTGCCGCGGCCTGTGCCTCCCTCAGCACCCCTTGCGGCCCCAGTCTTTTCCTGCCAGTGCAGGAGGCTCAGACTCCCGCCTGCATGGCCTCTGCCCACAGGCTCTACTCTACAGGCCTGCAGGGAACTGGGAGGGCTTGCTGATCTGAAGAGCATTTTCCCCTCACATAGCCCTGCTCCAGAGCCCAGATCAGCACCACATCCCATGGCAGCGAGGCCTCGCCCAACTCCACCTTCTATTAGGCATCGCTAGAAGTTGGAGGGAAAAGAAGCGGGGAGAAAAATCTAAATATATACATGTATATATCTTTTATCTCTTGCTGGTTTCCTCTTTTTTCTCTTTTACTTTCTGTGCTTTCTTCTCTCTCTTCTTTCTTCCTCCCTTTTCATTATTGCTATTACTTCTCTTCTGCCCCTTTTCTATAGGTTTTTCTTCTATCTTTTTCTTTTCCCACTTTCACTACCATCACTTCTTTTCTCTCCTCTTTTATAGCTTCTCCTTCCTTCTCTCTCTCCAGTGTTTTTCTTTTTCCTCCCAAAATTTTTAAATCATTTTTTAATTTTTAACCCTTTAACTTTTTCTTTTTTGTTACTAAACAAAAAATGGGCTGCTAAGGGTACCCTGACAGACCAGGTCAAAGCAGCCTGGGGGCACTCACTGAGGCTCCAGCCCCACTCCAGTCGCTGAAACATCTCACCACTGCTGGTCACTAAGCCTTCGGGGAACTCTGCCTACACAGCAGTCTGGTCCATCCTTAGAGTAGGTCATAGGCAACTGCCTGAAAGAATCCTTAACAGAAACACAGATAAGGGGCCCCTGGCCTACCAGAAACATGGGGCCTAGGAAAGGATGGAGGAAAAAGCAACAGACCACACCACTGCCAACAAAAAAACCAGAGAGACAAAACATAGCAGCTAACGTCTCTCATAGAAGAAACAGATACAGATCTGCCACAGAAGGAAATCTTCAGAAGTCTGCTCGCAGTAATACAGGAGCTTAGGGAAGCAACCCTGAACAAGGATGCAATAATAGAGGAGTTGAAGTCCACAATGGAGGGGATGAAGTCCACAATAGAGGGGATGAAGTCCACCCACCAAAGGGAACTGCAAGAGCTAACAGAGGAGGTAGCAGAAGCCACACACAAAGTCACAGAATTTACGATTAGGCTAGAGGAGGCAGAGAACCATATCAGCGACCTCGAGGACATTCAAACAGACCTAAGCAAGCGAGAAAGACAGTCAGATAGGAAAATTAAAGAAACAGAAGATAGCCTGAAATAAATGACAGATGCTGTGAAGAGGAATAATATTCGAATTATTGGTCTACCCGAACTTAACACAACACACAAGTCGACAGCAAAGATAGCAAAGCAATTTCTGGAAGAAAACTTTACCGCCCTAACAAGGGCGAACCAGCACTCATACAGGAAGCAGAAAGGACGCCAGCTAGATTATACCCCAAGAACAACACGCCAAGACATATAATAGTAAAAATATCCAACTTTGAGGAAAAAGAGAAAATTTTATGAGTAGCAAGAGAAAGGAAGACAGTCACATACAAAGGAGCACAGGTAAGAATATGCTCAGACCTATCAGGAGATACTGTGAAGAGGACGAGAGAATGGAGCAACATCTTCTGAAAGCTGAAGGAAAAAAACGCCTCCCCCAGGATCCTGTACCCTGCCAATTTATCCATTAAGATAGATGGTGAGATAAGGGTCTTCCAGGACAAGGAAAGACTCAAAGAATATGCTGTAAGACACCACACCTGCGGAAGATACTGGCTGACTCACTATGGCCAGAGGATCAACCTCCACCAAGAGCAAACAGGAGATCACCATATAGCCCATCTCCATCTAGAAGCCAATATTCCAGCAACAATTACCAGGACAAGAGGGTCTCAGATGGAAAAGAAGACAAGATAGAAAATCTACACTCAAACACAGCACACTAATATGAGTTGAGATAGGTAAAGACCCAAAACACAAAACGGTATGACAACTATGAACCCACAGATAGTGATAATAACTGAAATCCAATGGACTCAATTAGTACATTGAAAGAAAAAGGCTTGAGGACTGGCTCAGAAAACATAATCCATCAACGTGTTGCCTGCAAGAGACACACCTTAAGTGCACAGACAAGAATATGCTAAGAATAAAGGGTTGGCAGAAAGTTTACCAATCGAATTCTAACTCAAAAAAGACAGGGGTAGCTATCTTAATCTCCGACAATATTGACTTCAAGATCCAAACCATAAAAAGAGACAAAGAGGGACACTACATAATGCTCAAAGGTTCAGTAAACCAAGAAGCACTTAGCATATTGAATATCTACGCTCCCAATAATGGTGCAGCGAATTTTGTCAAACAAACTATTAAAAAGATGAAAAAAGAAATCATGGACTCAACAATCATAGTAGGTGACTTTGACACTCTGCTATCAGAGAAAGACAGATCACTGGGAAGAAAGCGCAGCAAAGATGCCATAGAGCTAAACAATGTAATTAGGCAACAGGGCCTGACAGACATTTATAGAGCTTTCCATCCAAACGCAAAGGGTTTCACATTCTTCTCTAGTTCACATGGATCTTTTTCAAGAATAGATCACATGTTGGGACACAAGTCCAGCCTGAGTAAATTCAAACACATAGATATTATCCAGACATCTTTCTCAGATCAACATGCCATAAAGCTGGAGATTAATAAGAGGATGTCCAGGAAAGCAAGGGCAACCAATTGGAGGATGAACAACAATCTCCATAAAGCTGGAGATTAATAAGAGGATGTCCAGGAAAGTAAGGGCCACGAATTGGAGGATGAACAACAATCTCCTGCAACATGAATGGGTACAGGCCCAGATTAGAGTGGATATCAGGAAGTTTCTAGAAACTAACGAGAATGAGAATACAACATGTCAAAACTTATGGGACACTACAAAGGCAGTTATCAGAGGTAGCTTGCTATCATTGAAAGCCTATATGAAAAAAGAAGAGCGGCATATGACAGATACATAAACACAATCCCTCCAACAACTAGAACAGAGTCAGCAGAACCACCCCTCAAAAAGCAAGAGAAACGAAATAATAAAAATCAGGGCAGAGTTAAACCAGTGGGAAGACAAGAGAACAATACAAAAGATAAATGGAGCTAATAGCTGGTTCTACGAAAGAATTAACAAAATTGACAGTCCTCTGGCAAAGCTTACCAAGGATAGAAAGGAGCAAACATCAATAGCCAGGATGAGGGATGAAACAGAGGCAATAACAACAGACCCCAATGAGATTAAAAGGATAATCACAAAATACTATGAAGGTCTGTATTCTAATGAATTCAGAAACATGGAAGACATGTATAAATATTTGGAAAAACAGTCTCTCCCTAGATTATCTCAAACAGAGATTAAGAACCTCAACAAACCCATAGCGAAAGAAGAAATAGAGAGTGTCATTAAAAATCTACCAACAAAAAAAGTCCCAGGGCCAGATGGCTTCACAGCAGAATTCTACCAAGCATTCAGGGAAGAGTTGACACTGATCCTCCACAAAGTATTCCATAACATAGAAGAGGATGGCAAACTCCCAAATTCATTCTACGAAGCCAACATTACTTTAATACCCAAACAGGGCAAAGACCCCGCAGGTATAGAGATTTACAGAGAAATATCTCTAAAGAACATAGATGCAAAAATCCTTAACAAAATATTGGCCAATAGAATACAA